GATAGACCATACTCTATCGGACCAGTGTCCCCTAGAAAATGGCACTCCCCAGGGCAGTATCCTCAGCCCCACAGTCTTTAATTTAATGATAAACGATCTCTTCGAGGGCCTATCCCCTAAAATAAACACACCCAAATTCGCAGATGATGGAGCCCTCTGGATCCGCACTAAAAGCATTAAAATGGCCCAAAATTTACTCCAAAAATCTCTTAATAAAATACAACAATGGGCTGACAAATGGGGCTTCTCCCTTAACTCAGAAAAAACAACAGGAATAGTATTCAAACATAAAAACATGCCTCCCGCCTCCCCAATCCTCCAGCTAAACAACCAAACAATCAAATTTCAAAAACAAACCAAATTCTTAGGACTTATTTTCGATGAACATCTCACCTGGGATGCTCACATCCAAAACCTAACAACTAAATGCAGTAAAGACCTAAACACCCTAAGATGCCTTACTGGCTCTAACTGGGGAGCCTCTAAAGATACCCTCCTCTCTCTCTACATATCACTAATTAGATCAAAACTAGACTACGGCTGCGCCATATACAACACCCTAAACAACTCCCTATCTAAAAAACTTTACTGAATACAATATCAGGCTCTAAAACTGATTACACGCACCCAACATGGCACCTCCTACACTTCACTTCAGGCCTTAACAGGAGAAATGCCACTAAGTCTACGCAGGGAACAGCTAAGCTTAAATTTCTGGGCCGCATCCCAATCAAACCCTCTAATCCAAAACTTAATAAACCAAAATATCAGCCCCAAAAACCAAGCTCTAGCTCGTAAACACCCCTTACTTACCCCAATATCCCAAAGAATAACAAACTACCTAAATGAACACCAAATTAAAAATCTTAAACAAAACTGCAAACAATCAAATATCTTCACCCCTAAACTTAAAATACCCAAAATAGACACAACACTAGCTAGCCAAATAAATAAACAAACCGACCCAAACAGCTAAAACCACGATACTAGCATACATACACGAAAATTGGCCAAATTGGTGTCACATTTACACGGACGGGTCTTCAGATCCGACCACCAAACACACAGGTTTCGGAGTCCATACCACACAACCAACTAAAACCACACAATCCTTCCGACTCCCAAACAACCAATCAATATTCACGGCAGAACTAATGGGCATGGCCTCAGCCCTCCATAGTCAAGAATCCAAAAAACACAATAAAATCCTAATACTTACCGACTCCCTAAGTGGACTACAAGCCCTCCAAAACAAAAATACCAAAAACCGACCTAAATTAATAAATCTAATACTTAAAAGCTCCAACGACCTAACTAACGCAGGCAAACAAATAACCTTCTTGTGGATACCCGCCCACGTAGGAATATACGGTAATGAAAACGCCGATAAGGCAGCTAAACTATCCCTCAAAATCCCAGAAATAAGCTTAAACCTACCCATCTCAAAATCAGAAATTAAAAGCGTAAATAAGCAAAACATCACCAAAAAATGGCATAACCTATATCTAAACTCAAATAGCCAAATCAAAAAAGTACTCAGCAAACCACTAACCAAACCAAAAATTCTCCATCCATCAAAAAAGATCGACAGAGTAATCACTAAACTCCAAAAAGGACACACCAACCTAAATAACCACCTAAAAAAAATGAAAAAACATACTACAGTTAACTGCCCACACTGCAAACAACTAGAAACCCCAGAACACGCACTCATCCACTGCACACACTACCTAACACATCGAACCGCATTTACAAACCACCCTCAATCTAAACAAGGCTCTCACTCTAGAAGCAATACTAAACCCACAAAATAAACTAGAAAACTTCAAGGCCTTAGGCGTGTTCTTAATCAAAACGGAACTAATAAAACGCATATAAAAACACTACAATCTACCAAATCAAAATTACATAAACACACAAACATCCACCATACCCAGCTCCCTTAGTTCTCCCCCCAACCCCATCGGCATCTATTCCAAATCTCAAAATTCCCAAATTCTATATAAGCAACCCCTAAAGCCCCCTCTTGGGTTGCACACACCACTTTCGCCCCTTTCGGAAACACATTAAATGGCCTGGTCGGGCCCGTGTGCGAAATACGCATCAGTCGGAAAGCGCACGTTAAATCTCCAAAGTAAGTAAGTAAGTAAGACTACCAAAAATGGGCATCCCAGTGGGGATTCAAAATCAATACACAAAAAACCATTGGCTTACTCTTCAAAAACAAACGTATGCAAAATTATACACCCAAACTCACCCTCAACAACGAAGCTACCACATTAAAAAAAGAAGCTAAATTCCTAGGAGTTACCTTCGACCAACAACTAACATGGGCCCCCCCATATTCATAACCTGGTCACATCATGTCAAAAAGATTTGAATCTAATGAGAGCCATAAGTGGCTCTGATTAGGGTGCTGACAAACAAACACTACTCAACATATATAAATCACTTATACTACCCAAAATTGACTACGCCGCTCCGGCCCTTCACTCCATCACGGAAAAGCTAGACAAAAAACTCATATCTATTCAGTATAAAGCCCTAAAAACAGCCCTGGGGACCAGAACCGGTGCCTCCCTTACTTCACTCCAGCTAATCTCTGGAACCACATCAATTAAGCTTAGACACAATCAAACTACATTAAATTGCTGGGCTGGGGCCCAACAAAATCCCATATTTCAACAAATTACAGACAAATACACAAACCTTAGACCTTCCACACTCAAAAAGTTCAAAAACAACCATAACCTAGCCCCATTTTTAACACATCTATATAAACTCATTAAAACCCACAAACTTGAAAACATCAAACACACCCCTCTTTGCTACACATACATTAATGACAAACCGGCTCCCAATACAGACTGCTCACTACACAAACTCTTCACTACCCAAACCGACCTAACTAAAACAGACAAACTGCAAAAAACAAATCATTATATACAACAAAACTGGCCAAATCACACACACATCTATACTGACGCCTCCAAAAATGACAATAATATCACACGCTTAGGAATCCAAATCACACAACCAGTACCCATTACCACAATTTTTCACTATACCAACTACACACACACTACTACTGCTGAACTACTCGCCATCCAATGTGATTATCACTATATCAAACAATCCAAGGACAAAAACTTTCTAATCATTTCGGACTCATTAAGCTCATTATCCCAAATTCAAAACAAAACATCCAAGTCGCGTCAAGATATCATAAACAATATTATAGACAAACACAATATTACCACTGAAACAAACAAAACAATAACACTACTCTGGGCACCTGCACACACTGGAATACAAGGCAACCACTTGGCAGACATAGCAGCAAAACTAGCCACCACACACCCATCACCCTGTATTAACTTCACCACAAGTAAGGCCGAAATCAAAACAATAATCAGGAAAAACATAAAGAGTCAAAATTTCCAAATTAATATTCAAAATTCTAAATCCGCATGGATAAAAGCTCTTTTTACTAAACCTGTTACTAAATGCCACAATTTTACAAAGTCCATCATCACGGAAAAAATTATAAATAGATTGCTCAGTGGCCAAATTAACCTTAATGAAATACTATATAAACAAAATAGACACCCACATCCAAACTGCTCCCATTGCAACACACCTGAAAACCTAGATCATATATTTAACCACTGCAAAACATACAAACAAAGCAAAGTTCAGCTATATATACAAAATCACCACTTTTGCAATTTAGGATCGGGATCCAAATTCCTAGCGCGGATTGCCTTCTCCGACGTCCGCGCGATAAATTCGCCCATATCCAGCCACATATAACCATGCTCGTTAATCCAGCCGCCAACCCAAGCCAAGCCAACTCGCTCACTACTGCCACCCACCCCTGACTTCCGCGTCACCCCCCCCCCCCCCCCCCCCCCCATAACCAAGCAGGCCCAACGTTTATTAGAGTAGGTTTGCCAACCCACCACTTTTATTTTATTATTATTTCATAGTAGTTATATTATTATACTAGCATATCAGCCTAACTGATCACTTTAAATCATAAATCTTTCCCAATAGGTGCTCCCAGTAGATTAGGTTTCTTACAGCGTCATATCCTGTCACTGAGCCTTCTTATCCCATTTCACCACCTTTACTGTATTTCTTTCTTCTTTACACACCTTCATTTATAGTTTTTAAGTTTTTATTCTCAATTCTTCAATTCTATTTTAAGGAAACATTACCGTGAGATAGTACGATCTCAATATTGTCCTGGATCCAATAATGGTGGCGCTGGCAAAAAGCGTCACCATCCTTGGATCCATCTGTAAATATAGATTTATAATTATCATATTTGTTCTTAATTCATTATATTCTTGTTGATTTGTTATACTAGTGGATTTGTTTCAGATTTCTTTAATTAAGTTTATGATAGATCCACCTCTGGCGTTACGAATTGCCACGGCGGAGAAGACAAACGTTCTGTGGGGGCTATATGTTCGTGATTTATTTTAGCAGCCGAAACATGGGGTTTTATTCTGATTCCAAGGGATGGAATAAGAGATGATTATTTATTGTAGAATTCTTCATAGAGGGGATTAAGAACACAACCGACGGCTGGATGGGAGTTATTAGAATGCAATTTAGTAATGTACTGTAAAGATAACTTATTACGACGTTCTTAAAGTGATGGTTCATCAGCCTCCTGATACAGACTATGAACCGGAGACGTTCTAAATGCTCCAAGGCAAAACCTCAGGCCTTGATGATGAATAGAATCAAGGTTTTTTTTACAAAATGATGTCTTTTGGGTCATCCTACACCAGCTGTATAATCAAATGTGTAGGCAAATAACACATGTAGGCAAGTGTTTTATTTACATACCCGAAGCAAAACCTGAAACATTTACTTTTACATTTCAACTATTATGTGTTTCAAACATATTTTCCATGAACAACGGGCGTGTATATTTTAGCAGATGGAGCATACGGCAATATGTCTTCAACAATTGATATCTTTTTCAGACAATCTCCATGACAGAAGCAAGATAGCCCATAAAGCTGCCCTTGGATGAATGCATTTAACATGCCTTCAAAATACCGCCTGTTGTGTAAGTGTCATGGGAGTCAAAATAATTGGATTCCCATAGTAATTTGATCCCCATAGTATTTGGACCCCCAATTTGATTTCAACCAGCATAGTGGTTAAATCGCTTGGCTCTGATCAAAGCTTTAAGAATGTTAATGTCAAAAAAGTTGCATCCCATCGAAGTGAAGGACACTCCATTCTTACAGACCCGTGAGGATCCGGGGTAGAATAGATCTTCAGCAACCCATGCTTGCCGTAAAAGGCGACTTTGCATGTCGTAAAAAGCGATTAACGGGATCGGGTGGTCATGCTCGCTGACTTGGTTGATGCATGTCATCATGTATGATATTATTTACACAGACCGCCGTCATATAGCAGGAATATTGCAGAGCCCTCGCTAAGCAGCAAACAAACAAAAACAAAACAGAACCATCAGTAGCTTTAGTGATGACGTAAATCCAGCTTGGGTATCATGCAGGAAGCTGAGCCAACATAAGTCCCCATGATCCCCAGCCGTGTGGCCTTTCTTCGGTTGCTAATGGCTTGTAGCCGGTGTTTTAAACAGTTGTAAATAAAATTGTCATGATAAAATATGTTTGTCAAAATATAACTTTGTAATCATGACCCAGTTGTATAGCTCTCAGTGTTGTGTCCAATGAACAATCGACCGCCTCCGTGGTCTTGTGGTAGAGCGTCCGCCCTGAGAGCGGAAGGTCCAGGGTTCGATCCCGGGCCGCGTCATACAAAAAGACGTTAAAAGATTGTACTTGTTGTTACCCTGTCTGGCGCTCGGCATTAAGGGGCTAAAACAAGGACTTGTCGGCTCGGAGTCAGTATACTGTGTCTGAGTGGGGTATTCATGTTAAACTGCGGCATGGTATCTCAGTGAGCTAGCACTATAAATCGGCATCAGTCCGGACTAGTACAAGCAGCCACACACACACATACACGTGCATGCACGTCGCTATATAAGTGCAATAATCTTGGACGCGACGTTAAACCCAATTTCACCTTACCAACTCCAATGAACTATCATTGTCTGTTTGCTGTTTTCAGTGTACTTATTGGTCGTGTCGAGTGGACTCTTCTTGTACCAGTTTAGTAAAGCCTGGATGATGACAGGAGGGAACCATGTTCAAAGTAAGTGTTGCCGCTTGTACTTACATAGACTGGTTAATATATACCTAGCCAAAAAAGTAGGGGATATGGTATTCGAAAATGGAAATGATATGATTCGATCTGCTGGGGAGTATGCGATCAAATCTAAGGGGTTGTCATGGGTGGTGTGATGAGATGGTGGCTCACTAGGTCGCTAAAGAGGTCGGGGGTCAAATTCGAAAGTTGCATTTTGCAGCCAATACACTAATATCGGATAAAGCCACACTGGCTTCTGATGAGTCGACCAATGTCAGCTTGACTCATGTTGTTCCACTAATCAGTGAGAGCAACACCAAGTTCATTGTGGTGGGTGGATTTTGACTTGACGTTGACGTACACGTCTGCCAATGACGCCCAAGACCTTTTTCAATGGGGCAAAGGTCAGGACTGAGTACTGGCCATGGCATGACATGGGTGTTTGGCTGTTGGAAGAATTTGGTCTCAATAAACGCACGATGAGCACTTGAATTATCAACTTGAAAGATGAAACGTTGCCCAACACCATTTGCAAATGGTGCAATGATGTTGCTATGATTGAGATACCCCATATCATTATGGACCAACCCCCTAACACGATCATGTTGTACGTCCATAACACGCACATTAGGGCGTCTCCAAATTCGATATCCTCGGTCGTGGATGTCGAAAGTGTATCTCAATTCGTCAGAAAACAGCCCAACGTCGAGTATCCCAGTGCTGACGTTCCCCACACCACTGACGCATCTGATCCAAAAGACGTGCAGGAAGTTGTGGAATGACATGTGGACGTCGTGCCACCTGTGCTGAGTTTTAAAAAGTGGCTGTAAGCGTTTGCTTCCAAGAAAACCATACGCGTCTTCTCACAACAGAATCAGAATGACAATGGTTCATCTGGCACACACCCTTGAATTCGTGCTTCATAACTGCCACACTGTTGTATTTGGGAGCTTAGTTTCTTGTGTGTTTGCGTTTGTGTTTGTGTTGGTGTGTGGTGGGGATGTTAGACACATTTTGTTTCTTCGAGCCACTGCTTCAAAACAATCAGTATGTATCTGTGAAATGAATTTTCTTTCCAATTCTTTCTGGAACAAATTATTGATTTCCTAGGGTTCCAACTTCCCTTCTCCAGAATATCAAATTGTCCGTCCGAATAAACGAAATGTAATATGCTGTTGTGATATTGTCAGGAATCTCTGAACAGAAGACGCCACCGAGATATGAAGAAGTTGTCTCCAAGGAACACAAACCTCCTTTCTTTTCAATAAAAGGTAATTGTTAACTCAAATTATCTCGATTCATGTTACCCGAGCTGCGGTGTTTACATGTCCACTTTCCATAGGAATATTTTGAATTTGGATAAATCGTAGTTTTTGATAAAGTACAACCGGTACAATTATGTATAACAGTCGAGTGTAATAGTTTGAACACATACGAGGGGTGTTCAATAAGTTTTGTAACTTTAATATAAGACCAAGTCGCAGAATATCTTTAGCACTTTCATTTTTCAATATAATCTCCATTCACCTCAGTACACTTATTCCATTTGTCCTTCAAGCTTTTAATATCACTTTTATAGAAATCCGCAGATTTGCCCTTTAACCACGCTTCTGTGGCAGCCTTTATGTCCTCGTCATCCTGGAAGCGTCTTCCACGTAGGGCAGATTTCATTTGCCGGAACAGGAACTAGTCACTGGGGGCTAAGGCCGTAGGGTGGGTGATTTTAACTGTTCGAATCGACAATCACGTATGTGCAATTCTCGACTTGTGAAGCGGAGTATGTAAGGAAATTTATTACAGCGCGTCTCATTATTTCAGATAAGCAGCTCGTGTCTGCCACCTTCTTCACAGACAAAGTCAAGGAGTCTAAGACCATATATCAACAGAAGGTAGCAAGTATGTATAACTCGAGCTTCAATGTGTGGAAGTGCTTACGCATCAAGAATAAAGGGATGGAGGCCCAGTTTTATTTCCCATTTGGGTCGAACATGTTAGTGATGGAATATTGCTAATTAACCATCTTCCCATACACTTTACTAATTCATACCAAAGGATAAAACAAATATAATTTGTTTATAAAGTCATTTGCGTCGTTGGTGTATGTAGCTTTGGATTAAATAGCACTGAAAGTCTTTTTTGTATCTGATAACAGATTAAAGGTATTACATGGACTACCAGCTTCACTTAAAAGAGTTCTGCTCAGATCATCATCATACACTCCACACATGAGAACTTAACGTCGGACATATATACGATCGACTACAATACATTGTATATTTGATTTAAACAATATTTATGTAAAACAAAAGCCAAAACTATTTGAAATACCTACAAGGCCAAGGTCAAAAACCAATGGTACGTAAAATAATAAATTCAGATAACTGCCCCTACTGTTTGCAAGTATACAATATACATTATGACGTCACGCTATCCGCACAGGCCGGAGAACCGAGTTGTATGTTTTTTTACAAGACAACTACATTAGATTATTTACGAAGTAATTATAGCCGTTTATGTAAGTAAAAATATCACGTTCATGTTTTTAACTCCACCCATTCAGGAATTATTCAGAATATTGTCATTTTCAGCCTTGAAGAAGCACAAATTATGGTCTGAACTTGATCCCATCTCCAACTGTACAGGCCATGAGAAAGGACGTAAGTAAGGAGTGATGTGTCTCTTGATAAGAGGGGCACGGGTGGCCCAGTCGTTTAAGGCGCCGCAATTCGCCATGCAGAGTTGCGTCCCTTGGGCACGCCAGAAACTTATGATTGTGGGTTCGAATCCCGGTTTGCCCCGATTATGTTTCTAGGTTTGTCAGCACCATACCCGTGCTCGTGGGTTTCACCGAAGCGGTAAACGTCTGAGACCTGCATCACTTCAGGCTTTCCTCCCGCATTAAGCTGACACGCCGTGTTATAACTGGAATACTGTTAAAAGCGGCGTTAAACATAACTCACTCACTCACTCTCTTGATAAGCCTTTAGTTCCATTGTCAAAACCCAATGAAACCTGATGTGTATGGTCGAGAGTGTTGAAACCAGTAATAGTGTCCCATACACCACCTCGACCCTTACTTCATCGAGGACCCGTGAAGATCCGGGGTAGAATAGGTCTTCAGCAACCCATGCTTGTCGTAAAAGGCGATTATGCTTGTCGTAAATGGCGACTAACGGGATCGGGTGGTCAGGCTCGCTGACTCGATTATTAACAGACCGCCGTCATATACCTGCAATATTGCTGAGTGCGGCGTTATACAAACCAACCAACTACTTCATCGAGATGGGTTTAGGATAATATAGGCGAGAAAACCCTTTCCATATTGAAAGAAATCTCTTGTTATACCGAAAATGCCGTACGCCTGACCCTTACCTCATCGAGGACCCGTGAAGAACCGGGGTAGAATAGGTCTTCAGCAACCCATGCTTGCCGTAAAAGGCGACTATGCTCGTCGTAAGAGGCGGCTAACGGGATCGGGTGGTCAGACTCGCTGACTTGGTTGATGCATGTGGTCTTATCCCAATTGCGTGGATCGATACTTATGATGTCATTCACTGAATTGTCTGGTCCCCACTCGGTTTGTTTACAGAACGCCGTCATATAGTTGTAATATTGCTGAGTGCGACGTTAAACAACAAACAAACACATAATATTATTGAAATAATGCTGACGTCAGCCTATACATTATCATACATTATAATTCATGTTTTACACTGCAGCACAGCTATGTGACGACACAAGAAATTGTTCTACATCTCTTCCTGCGGCTGACAGCAGCGAAAATATAAAAAGTATTCTTGCGCCATTGACAAACATCAAGGATGGGGCCCTGGAGATGTTAAAAGACATATTTGAACCTCCATCCGTTAAAGTAAAATATGTGTTCCTGACGGCGGCTTCAGCTAATCACTTCACAGAGTCTCAAGCCACGATAGAAACTCTTGACAAAAACATTCTTCCCGGTTTGAAGAACTACCTTTTTTATTATTATGACATGGGGTTACACAAGAATCAAGTTGAACTGGTGAGTAGACGGTGATTTGTTGTTTGTTTGTTTGTTGTTTAACACCACAATAGTCCAGCTATATGACGGTGGTCTGGGCCAGTGACGGTATGAACAAAACTTACTCATAATGAACCTCACTTTATTCTGTTTCGTTCGGGAGTGGTGGACGGGACACGGTTAACGCCATGTTTTGTTTGTTTTGTTTGTGTATGATTGCGGTCTGTAAATAATTAAATATGTACAAAGATTCCCGTGATTGACATCATGAGCATCGATCCACGCATTTGGGATATGATGACATGCATCAACCAAGACTGCAAGCCTGACGATCCGACCACGTTACTGAAGACAAATTCTAACCAATATCAGAACGGGCTCGCGTTAGTGCGTGCAAGTGTGTGTGTGTGTGTGTGTGTGTGTGTGTGTGTGTGTGTGTGTGTGTGTGTGTGTGTGTGTGTGTGTGTGTGTGTGTGAATATGGCTTCTGTATGCTGTATCGAAACGAAAATATTTATATTGGAATCTCTTACTTGTCAATGAGAAAAGAAACACAAAAACAAAAAACATTGTAAAATGGCACAAGGTGTTCGCGAAACGCATAGGTGATCAAATATGTGCCTAGAGAAAATTCTTTTACCATAATTTTTGTAGACAATTAGGGTTCTGTTGCTTATGATTTGATCTAATATGGACTTAGGGACCGGCAATTTGATATTCGGGTTGGCTGGGTTTTTAATCGGGAAAACAATTGTCCCCGAAATTTCTTGAAAAAACATTTGAAGCTTCAGACTGTTAAAAAAAGAAATAGAAGCCACCCTAAATATCAAATAGGCGATCCCTCACTCACACACTCTTTTAAACAGGTCTCTGATTGACACTGTAAACTTTTCAGCTGCAAAACTTCAGCAAGGCAGTGGTCAGAAAATACCCTTTTGATCGTTTGCCGGGCCGGTTTTCCTACCTACGATGCTACACGTGGAAGCCTTTGATACTACAGGTTAGTGTACATGTATCCAATATTTACACACGATGTTGCGGCGTTCATTGGATATAAATTTGGACAGTCATCTCCGAAGACCAGTGTTCTTTTTTCGGAAGTATTATTTGTAAACTGCTTTTAATATAGCAATAATACAATGATACATGTAGGTATTTGTTTTACGTATTAGTCTTGATTACTGTAGTATTAAAGTGATACAGCGTTTATCACATTTACCCTTGGTACTCACAGACCAAGATCAGTATTGATCAAAGTGAGAACCTTCGTTAAACGGATCCTGTAATGGACAAGTTCAAGAACTCATGCAGATATTTGCGGCTCTGTTGAAAACTCGGCTATACAACATCCTTGTGTATTTATCACCTTTTCCATGTGGTCATGTTTTCTTCCAGACGATTCCTGTTGAGTACGTTAACATATACTTGTATACGAGTGAAATTACCTTTCATTATTGCTTCCATTGAAGTTTTTTGATCAGGGTTACAACATTCAAGGCCGCAGTAAAGCTTTCAAAACGTTTTATGGTAGACATGTAGAGGACATTTCCAAACTTGACGCACCAGTCACAAAAATGATGTCCGTTGCAATTCCCTAGTTTGACGTGTGGCAAATGTTTCCATGTTTTTTTTTCAGGTGAACAATTTGCTTGCCTTTGCATGTGTTTGTGACGGGTGCCATCGGTGGGGCACGATACGCTCACCTTTTCGCGAACACCTGGTATCATCACTATACGATACTGATTCATAAACACCTGCTCATGGCAGTCGGAATCGTACACTCGACTCTGCCTTTGGCAGATATTTCTTATGAATACAGAAATGGTTTTGTCGCTTTTATCAATATTCGTTTACGAATGTACAAATATTATAAGTTTAGTTTTCTTTTTCAGGCTCATTTCGACTCGGCAGAGTATGTCATTTGGATGGACTCATCTGTTCGATTCACGAAAAATAACAAAAAAGCAATGTTCCAAAAACTAAGAATGACAGGAGTGCTTATGTCACCTGCAAATTTCCCTTTTGCTCAGCACACCTCGATGCATTTGTTTTCCTACTTCAATAGTGACCCTTGTCACTACTCCATGTACCAAGAAACTGAGGCAAACTTTATACTTCTTCATAATCAACCGTTTGTGCGGAGACTTATCATGGACCCGTGGGTGGCCTGCGCGGTGGATCCAAATTGTATGTGTCATTACGGATCCACACAACTCTTCAAGTGTCCTACGCATACTCGACAATATGGGAAGTGTCATCGCTATGACCAGTCAACCATTGGTCTGATTGTTTTGAAATTATTCAGAAGAAATATAGCAACAATTCTGGTCCCCAAAGGTGAATACGCAATCATATCAAGATCAAAGGAAACTGGACCTCGGTACCTAGAAGAACTCTACAATAACACAAGGACGAAAGTGTAGATAAGGCCATACGTTCACAAGAACATTTCGTCATATCAATCCTTGGAAGTGTCTCAGCCAATTTCATGGAAAAAAGGAATGAAGTATTGTGGTCGATAAATCCAATATGGGATGGGTCAATTCTATTCAGTTCCAACGGGTGTGTATGTACTTCTCATGAAGTACAGTAAACTACGTTTATAACAAACACGCTTATAACGAACTGACGGATACAACAAACTGGTCTTTTAGGTCCCGGCCATTCGCTGTATATATGTTGCATATGTGCATATAACGAACTACGGTTATAACGAACTAAAAGGGACAAAAAGTATTCACAAATGTACTTCTGCCGTCTTAAATAGTACATAGTTGATTGCTCAACTTTGCGGCAATTCAGAGTAATTGCAATAACAGCTCCACAATAATAAGAGACTCGTGATGATCCGGGGTAGAATAGGTCTTCAAAGATCCATGCTTGCCGTAACAGGCGGCTATGCTTGTCGTAAGGGGCGACTAATATCATCAATATTATCAAGGGTTAATACTCTCAACGAGTTTTTCAACTTTCTTGGAGATAAAACACATTTATTTACACACCAATATAATGGCTCCAGCTATCTTAGTTACCAACAGATATTTGTCAGATTGTCGGCCATTTTTCAAGATGGCCACCAAGGTCACCAAAGGTCAAGTCAAAGATGGCACTATATCTAAATTTAACCGTATTGGTATGATGTATATTGATTCCAATTTTCATGCTTTTACCACAAATTGCACGATTTTTTTTTATAATATGTCATAATCCGCTGGTCTATAACGGGATGGGGTGGTCAGACTCACTGACTTGGTTGATGCATGTCATCGTAACCCAGTTGAGTGGATCGATGCTACGGATGTCAATCACTGGATTGTTTGTACATATTTAATTATTTACAGACCGCAGTTATACACAGACAAAACAAACAAAACATGACGTTAACCGCGTCCCGTCCACCTCTCCCGAACGAAATAGAATAAAGTGAGGTTCATAATGAGTGAGTTTTGTTCATACCGTCACTCAGCAATAGTCCAGGACCCACTTGCACAAAGCTATCTTTGCGATAAGACTATTGTAAGCCTATGTTAAAGTACGGGAGTTACGATCATCTTAGCGCTAAGATCTCTTTGTGCAAGTGGGTCCAGCTATCACTAAAGTACTCATTGAAATGGAAAAAACCCTGTTTTGCTGGATTTAATAATCGACACATAGCATTACGTAGATACAAAATAATAAAACAACTGGAAAAGTACTAGTCTGGATTTGCTAGTTTTATCTCAGTGCTCAATACAAAATGTACTTTACAGGAGGTAATTTGTAGGCACGTTCAACATTCAAAAATAAAACTAAGTCCAAATTGACATGGCTATAGGCATTATGCAAATTAGCCTGAAAAAAAGTGATCAAAACAACAATAAAAATAACAGCTAAGTTTATGTACATAATAATAATGACATGTAAGTTGTTGTTTGAGAAGGGAATATGTTACTTTTACGTTCTGATATTTTGACGATGATTCACTATCCCACAATGCCACTGACAAATCACTAACCACTGACAAATCACATGCACGTGGGTTTCAAGCACCTGTTTTCACCTGTCGTCAAGGTGTCATAGGTCATGGACATTCACCTTGATCTACTACCACCTGGTTATGCTCAGTTTCACAATAGTCTGTTACGTGTAAAAAGACATAAAAACCTTTGATACGCCGTATTTGTGCGAAGGCCCAATTTGTACTAATTGAGTTGTTTGAATATTTATATATTTTGTATATTAACTGCATTTATTTAAAATCTGAGATCGAACAAACATTTTTTTTCATTTCCGTGAGAACTTTAGAGGCCTTTACATTATCGACTAAGGGACATGGCAAATGGAAAATGTAACGTGTTTCCAGCTCAGCCTTCAGGAAACTGTATTTTTAAATATATATGTATTCCTGGTCGAACTTTAATTTGGTCTGCATGGTATAATGATTTTTCGAAGGGAAGAAGTAAATGGGGGATCTGACTTATAACTCACTTGGAGCAGTGTTTTAGACTAATCACTGAGTGCCAGCTATCAGAAACATTTATGATTACATAAATTTATGAGAAAAATAATATGTTGACTTTACAATAAATGTGCGTTTGCGACTTATGACATTGATAAGAGCTTTCGTAGAGCTTATCTTAGTTGGTGTTAACACATAGCGGAACAGCTGAAGTGCAATCGATTTATGAAAAGTGTCGAGGATGGGCATAATTAGTACTAACTTCATTGTATATTTATGTAAATATTTAACCAAACATGTGTCTTAAATATGTAAATCACATTTATCAATGAAGAGCTGGGAGATATACAATGTTGGTGCAATTTTTTGTTTTAAGTTGGGATACACACTCTTAATATGCCATGAACGATGCTTGGGAAAAATTGTAATACTTTTTATATAGCAGTATATTGTAACATTTGGTGTAACGTATTTTACTGCAATACAGTTAATCTTGAATTCAGACTGATGTTTTGCGTTTCTGAGACCATAGCTAATGATTACGAGATTGCTATCCTCATCCTCACTTGGTTTCATTAAACATGGGGGGGCACGGGTGTCCCAGGCGGAATCCCGGTTCGCCCCGATTATGTTTCTAGTTTTGTCAGCACCATACCCGTGCTCGTGGGTTTCACCGAAATGGTAAAACGTCTGAGACCTGCATCACTTCGGGCTTACCTCCCACATTTAGCTGACACACCGCGATATAACTGGAATACTGTTAAAAGCGGTGTTAAACCCAACGGACAATATCAACATACTTTTAAAAAATTGCTTGACATGTGTAAATTCACCAAGATCTGTCCATACCACTCCAACTATGAACATCAGTGCAATGGGCCACGAATGATTAACGAGTATCATAAAGACACTGGAATATATCTCAAAACACCATGTTAAAAGAAACTGCGAACGTATAAAGCCTCCGTGGGTCATAATTTATCCGTTTGGTTTATTCTAAGGCCTCCGTTCAACTGAATCGACGTTAGCTGATGTCAAGGAGTGCAAATACGAGTGAAATTCACCGCGCCCTGGGCTACATTGTGTATAATTGGCCATGTGTGCAGTAGGCTATATTGTGTATAATGTGTGGGTAGCAGGGCGTGGAGTCATCCCACATCCTTACCTTGTCAGCTTGCTGACCGGGTTAACCTCTTTTGGCATGTTTCGCGACAGAAACACAAAAGAAATCACCCACAGAATCACAATCACATGGGTGCTCCCGCAAATGTCCCACATTCTCAATTCAGGTCCCCAAAGGTAAATACGATATCGTATCAAGATCGAAGGAAACGAGTCATCGGGACCTTCAAGAACTCTTCAAAAACTCTACAAGGACGAGTGTGTAGATAAGCACATACGTTGACGAGGTCATTTCGTAACATCAATCTTTCGTGGTGTCTCAGCCAATTTCACTGAAGAAACGCATGAAACCGAGCAAATTGTGGTCGACAAAATGAATACGGTATAGATTTCTGTTTCTCACCAATTGGCGGTGAGGTAGCCGAGTGGTTAAAGCGTTCGATCGACACACCGAAGGCACGGGTTTTATTCCACACATGGATACAATGTGTGAAGCCCATTCCTGGTGTCCCACGCCGTGATATTGCTAGGATAATGGGGCGATCGATTTATGAAAAGTGTCGAGGATGTGCATAATTAGTACTAACTAAATGTCTTAAATATGTAAATCACATTTATCAATAAAGAGCTGGGAGATATACAATGTTGGTGCAATTTTATGTTTTAAGTTGGGTTAAACACTCTTATTATGCCATGAACGATGTTTGGGAAAAAACTTAATACTTTTTATATAGCAGTATGTTGTAACATTTGGTGTAACATTTAGTATTTTACTGCAATACACTTAATCTTGAATTCAGACTGATGTCTTGCGTTTCTGAGACCATAGCTAATGATTACGAGATTGCTATCCTCATCCTCACTTGGTTTCATTAAACATGGGGGGCACGGGTGTCCCAGTCGTCTAAGGCGCCGCGATTCGCTGTGCAGAGTTGCCTCCCTTGTAAACCCATGTTCTTCGCGACGGAATTGTAGATGGATTGTCTGACTTACTCGGGAAACGTATGTGCGTATCTACACTTTCTTCCCTGTAATTATTGTGGATTTCTTCGAAGTACCGATGCCCTGATACATTTTATCATGAAATGGCTGCGTATAAACCTATTTGGATCTGAACTGTTAAGTCAATTACTCTACACTTGGCGCTTTGGCGAGTAATCAACCATTATTTTTTTAAGATTAAGAGAATTACATTTGTCTCGCCAGATATATCTGACGTTATTATATTTAATATTCCACGACGTATCCCTATTGCCTTTTACGTACGCTTCGTCTCTCACTCTTTCTCTTAGTTGTATCGGGGGCACGGGTGGCCCAGTCGTCTAAGGCGGCGCGATTCGCTGTGCAGAGTTGCGTCCCTTAGGCACGCCTGAAACCTATGATTTTGGGTTCGAATCCCGGTTCGCCCCGATTATGTTTCTAGGTTTGTCAGCACCATACCCGTGCTCGTGGGTTTCACCGAAGTGGTAAAACGTCTGAGACCTGCATCACTTCGGGCTTACCTCCCACATTAAGCTGACACACCGCGATATAACTGGAATACTGTTATAAGCGGCGTTAAACCAAAACTCACTCACCCAATTGGTGTGTATGCACATTCTAAGGGACATAAAGAATTCACAAATGACACGGGTCATGGCCGACGATGAATCAAGTGGACTGAGGCGGTGAAGATGGTTTTAAAACGGCTTATTCACTGCAAAAGATATGAATAGCATAATTAATTAATGTTAAGTCGAGGAGCAAGGTCTCTTCTCGACTGTGGCGTGACAAAAAGTCTTAGAATATTCAAATATTTAGCACATGATGATATCAGCATATATTACCTAAATACAGTATATTAACATGGTTACTTTGAATAGAATTGGTAAACACAATATTCGAACGATGTTAAAAAGTAACATTTTTAATAATATCTTATGTAATTATAAAATATATACATGGTAGAAATGGAACATAATCATCCCTTTCACTCACAATCTTACTTACGGGATGGTGCTTTAACTTAGTTTTTGAATTAGTAATCTCCTGCAACTCGATGCCTTTTGACTGAGAAGGATATTCAAAATTGAGTACTTTTATGATTTAGACTCTTCGATCGCGTTACCTATTCTATTGATTAGCTTACCATAAAGAAAGCAGATAGGTAAGGGAATATGTACCCGTTAAAGATATAGGCAGCATCAATTAGGAGATAAGCCTACTGAGTTTTGAAATTTGATGTAGTCCCACTGTAGAATATACGTAGATCAACATCTTATATGTATTTGTAACAGAGCGCCTTTGCGTGAGGAGTCAAATGTATAAAACACTTTGCGATGCGTACCTGCACAGGCTTTAAAGGTCCGCTATCTTAGAACATTTCGAAAAAGAGCCACAGGTATGTTATAAATGTAACAAACATTACTAAACTGCAACATTAAAATACACACAGTCTTGACTAGTTCCAAATAAGGGTTCAAAACACATAGTTTTTCAAAAAGTAGTTGACAAAAACCCTCCAAACTGAGTCCAAAGATATATATTTTAACTTTACGGCACCGGTTGTGCAGTGGATGGGATGAGGCAGAACTTGACCTACATCGCGGTCACTCGTCCCTACTGTCGGTGGCTGTCAATGTTGTTGACAGTCTTCGTGCCTCTGACAAGTTACACGAAGCCAGATGACAACCCCGATCTATGATGTGTCTCAACATCAACCTGTAGATTTACTGGGAATGACTCTGCTGGCACAATGTGCTTGCCAATGGAACTGGAATATGACTGCATAGCCGTGTTTTTAGGCTGCAGACGATCCGGCATTGACTCGAGGGAATCTTCATGTGACCCCTCACTTGTCAGTGTCAAGAATTCACAGTTTTGACTGCATTCGATGCCTGCATGTGAAAGAAGTGTGGCAGTTGTGGCTCTGTCACAGTGGTCCGTGTATGTTTTGTTTAATAGTGCATGTTCTGAAATGGTTGGTTGTTGGTTGGTTTGTTGTTTAACGCCGCCGCCAAATTTTTCAGTCGTCGAACAACGGCTTCGACACTGAAGGGGCATAAATGAATACAGCTGCTGCAATCCCCAGTTGCAGATGTTCTTCTAATAGTGATGTCACGATTCATCCAAGCACGGGTTTTCAAGCACCTTGTGCCCAGGACTGCATGCCTTGGTCCGTTCATCATGAAATGGAGGTCATATTGCGGTAACCAAATCATTGTGTACCGGGATATTTCAATCTTTACTTGTTGGATGATTTCTGATGTCACTAAAACTTGATACTTAGCAAACTTTGAGTAGAAAATACATCCTGCAACACAGCCAACTATACACATTTATGACATGAAGATACTGTGTAGTTTACAGTTGGTTGGTTTGTTGTTTTACGCCGCACTCAGCAATATTCCAGTTTTATGAGGGCGGTCTGTAAATAATCGAGTCTGGTACCAGACAATCCAGTGATTGATATCATGAGCATCGATCCACGCAATTGGGATCGATGACATGCATCAACCAAGTCAGCGAGTCTGACCTCCCGATCCCGTTAGTCGCCTTTTACGACAAGCATAGTCGCCTTTTACGACAAGCATGGGTTGCTGAAGACCTATTCTACCCCGGATCTTCACGGGTCTGTTCTGAAATGAATTTTGAAATTGAAATGAGTTTTATAAGCTATTCTGATCAAGTGCCTGTCCTGTGACTGCAGTTATGTTGGGACAACTGTTAATGAGTTTCCAAGTCTTTAGAAGGGAGCAGTGCTTTCTGATGGACATTCAAATCTCCTCCGTTAACCACGTTGATGGTTGATGGAGATGGCAATGAATATCGATCACAAAAAGGTTTGTAAACATGTTGTCATGAATAAAGTTTTTTAAAACGATTTTTGATCGTGTTATATACTTTACTTTCATTACCATTTGTTTCATTGAGGACATTACCTGTTTACCACCGAACACGTCCCGAAGAGTTCCATATTGGTTATCATTTGTATGCCTACGTTAACTCTTGTAATCTCATCATCGAAGCAGTCAGGTTACAATCTTGGATGTCAAAATCGTCGCCAAAAAATCCGATATCATACGTACCGTATTTCTTCTATAGGACACTTGGGGGTCTATTATTTTCGTGAGAGCCGTTGACCCGTCGTGTATTTGAGGCCTGGGCTGTGTTAGAGACCCAGCGTCTTATAGAGGAAATATCGATACGGTATACAGTTCTTATCGGTGATCGATCGGCAGCCATTTTTATGGATTGATATGTAGGCTACCGATGTATCCATACGCACGATTTTCGGTGTGAAATGGCTTAATATGTTTAAAAGAGGTTTCTGTTGCAAATAGGAAACCTTTTTAACCAATCAGAATCAGGTATTTCTTCAGCGTCATGGTAGAATATTATTTGATGTTCAGTCGAGGGAGCAAGAAGGTCTCTCCTCGGCTGTCACACCCCAGTTATGCGCACGAGATGCTGCTGGTGAGACAACCAGGAGTGAGTGAGTGAGTGAGTCTGGTTTAACGCCGCGTTTAACATTATTCCAGTCATATCGCGGCGTGTCAGCTTAATGTGGGAGGAAACCCTGAAGTGATGCAGGTCTCAGACGTTTACCACTTCGGTGAAACCCACGAGCACGGGTATGGTGCTGACAAACCTAGAAACATAATCGGGGCGAACCGGGATTCGAACCCAAAATCATAGGTTTCAGGCGTGCCTAAGGGACGCAACTCTGCACAGCGAATCGCGGCGCCTTAGACGACTGGGCCACCCGTGCCCCCGAGACAACTAAGAGAAAGAGAGAGACGAAGCGTACGTAAAAGGCAATAGGGATACGTCGTGGAATATTAAATATAATAACGTCAGATATATCTGGCGAGACAAATTAACTTCTCTTAATCATAAAAAAAATAATGGTTGATTACTCGCCTCAGCGCCAAGTGTAGAGTAATTGACTTAACAGTTCAGGTCCAAATAGGTTTATACGCAGCCATTTCATGATGAAATGTATCTGGGCATCGGTACTTTGAAGAAATCCACAATAATTACAGGGAAGATAGTGTAGATACGCAGATACGTTGCCCGAGTAATTCAGACAATCCATCTACAATTCCGTCGCGAACGAACATGGGTTTATAACTGATCGACAAAGCGAAGATGGTGTGTGAGTGAGTGAGTTTAGTTTAACTCCAGTGTTTTAGTATCATGGCGTGTCAACTTGATGTCTTTTGAAAGCCTGAAATCACCACTTTGGTTTGTTTGTAAGTTTGTTTGGTGTTTAATGCCGCCATCAGCAATATTCCAGCTATGTGATGGCGGTCTGTAAATAATCGAGTCTGGGCCAGACAATCGAGTGACTGAAATCATGAGCATCGATCCACAAAATTAGGATACAAAGACATGCATCAACCAAGTCCGCGAGCCTGAACATAGAATCCCGTTAGTCGCCTCTTACAAGAAGTATGATAAGAATATCCAAATCCGCTGCGTTGGGTTCCAATAAACATTATGACAGTTCTTCATCATTTGCTGATGAGAATGTTTAAGGACAACAACAATGAAGACTTCTTATTGTGGTTTCATTTTCTCTCACGTTAATAAGTTTGAATGTCTTTAAGCATGGATGATACAAAAGCACGGCCATTGTTCACACAGGACACTTAGTCTGACGTTTCAAGTTATTAAAAAGTAATTATAGTCCACTAGTGTCTTTGGTTTAATGAGTAAAACACTTGGACCGATAGTTTAAACATTTAGGGATTTAGGTGCAGGATCCAACCCAGCCAGTTTGCCTAAACGTTTGCAGCTTTATTATAAAAGCACATCCTGGCTCCTGTCTAAATGATCAGGAGGAGTGAGTGAGTGATTGAGTTGGGTTTAACGCCGCTTTTAACAGTATTCCAGTCATATCGCGGCGTGTCAGCTTAATGTGTGAGGAAAGCCCGAAGTGATGCAGGTCTCAGACGTTTACCACTTCGGTGAAACCCACGAGCACGGGTACGATGCTGACAAACCTAGAAACATAATTGGGGCGAACCAAGATTCGAACCCACAATCATAGGTTTCTGGCGTGCCCAAGGGACGCAACTCTGCACAGCGAATCGCGGCGCCTTAGACGACTGGGCCACCCGTGCCCCCTGATCAGGAGGACATGTTGTGAGTTGCGCAGAAGGCCTCCATATGTTCACCAGGGCCCACTTGCACAAAGCGATCTTAGAGCTAAGACGATCGTAAGCCTATGTTAAAGTATGGGAGTTACGATCATCTTAACGCTAAGATCGCTTTGTGCAAGTGGGTTGTTATGGCCAAACACAGATGCGAGTTCTGTCGAGTCACCGAAGTTTCTTCACTGTGCTATGAGCCTGAATTCTAGCAGTTCAATATCTGGAAATGTGTTTGCATTGCATGCAAATCCAGTAATTTGCCCTGAGTACCACCAGACGTTCCCAGCAGAAACATGTGTCATGAACCAGTTTGACTGTATCACGTGCCACAGTGAACCTGACACATGTCAAGTACATACTTAAAAACAATTTGAGATACTCGGAAATATCTGAAATTTTCCCAAACTGTTAGATATCATTTTCTAATAATAGTTGTATGATAATAATGAACGAATTGGGTACAACCGGCAGTAAAGAATGACGGTAGATCTTCAAGGACGGAATTGATAAAATTGGAAATTTCAAAGCTGGCGATTTTGACCAGTTCTGCGTGATACCGCCAAGATTTGTCAAACATTCATTCACTCAACGAGGCAGACTGCGCACGAGTCACCCGATGGCTGTTTGATTGGGGCTGACCCACTGCTCTTGCAGATGATGGGGAGACGTGTGCGTCAACATCATAAGCCACCGACCACAAGTGTATATGATAAGCAGAATCAATCAGATTGACAGAAATAATGGTCTCCACAGATAAATCGACCTTCCGTGAAAGTGTCAAAATCAGTAATTACACCCTACGAATGTGTATGTCGCTACCGCGTGAGGCACATACAAACAATAGGATATGTTTTGGTGTTAAGCTTTACAGACATAGACGTTCTTGGATGTTTGTCGTCAACACTTAACTTCTAGTACCTGGTATTAACATTAATATTTCATGACCCTCTTCTTTTGTAAGAGTAGTACTACATATATCGTTACAGCTGTCACAACGCTATGATAGTCTCAAACTCACGTTATATAATCATGAAGGTTTAGACATTAACATAAACAATAGTAATTCAGCATTATGTCTAGGTGTGGTCTAAAGATACCATTGGCTCTAGTTTTGAATTGGGACGTTTCTTTGATTGACAACCTTACATATCGTATTTTATTAGAACATAGTAATTAAGTAACAACAGTGAACACGATGACTGATGCCTTCAATCGTGCTTAGATTGTCTTTCCTGGTTTCGAATCTTAGATTATGAGTATGATAACAAAATGAGTACAACATGTGTATCCAAACTGTTGAATTAATACCATTTTCGTTACAAGATTAGAATTCTTTGTAGAACAAACCTGAAAAATAAAACAAAATATAAGTCACGTGTCATATTTAAAGCAGATTATTGAATGTTTTGAATATCATATTTATTTGAACAAGATCAGATAGAGATACAAAAGAAATTGTGATGATCACTAACGAACAGAACTGCACCATCGACCCAGGTATAAACATCACAAGGCTACCGTACAACCCCTACTTTCGGAAATGCTGGAAACTTCTCATTCTAGATATTCCAAGGAAACACCAGGCCATTCTGAACGTGCATATTAAGCAAGCATGTAAGTCATTATGCAAAATTGTAGAGAAATTGCACACCAATCACAATATGGTTTAAGTCAGAGGAATTTATTCCAATCTGATGATTCATATTCTCATAATTTCTCCCTTACTTAATATCTATTGTCAGCTTCCATGGAATCAAGCTTCTGGGAATAACATTTAGTACAAAGTATCATGAACTTAGAGTGAGTATGGTTTTACGCCGCTCTTAGCAATATTCCAGCAATATCACGGCGGGGGACACCAGAAATGGGCTTCACACATTGTACCCATGTCGGGAATCGAATCCGGGTCTTCCTCGGGACGAGCGAACACTTTAACCACTAGGCTACCCGACCGCCCCTCATGAACTTAGAAATTACAGAAATCTTAATTATATATGATTGTATTATAGTTATAGAAACACTTTTTGTGTCTCTATGGAATGAAATAGTATATTCTTACCCGCGATACATGCTGTGGTGAAACATGCAATATTCCCTGCTATCATTGCTCGCAGAACTAGTGAAGACAGATCCTTCTTCCGAGAAGGAGCGAGCGCCGATAGCCCACCCAGGAGGATGCCCATGGAGCCAAAGTTTGAAAACCCGCATAATGCATACGTTGATATCACCTCTGAGCGTTCCTGGAAGTCAAGACACACCACGAAGCCTTAGACAACATGCGTGTTACAGTCACTCCGAAAATATGTATAATGAGTAAGTTTGGTGTTTAATACCGCTTTTCACATTCTTCCAGTTATATCATTGCGTGTCAGCTTAATGTGGGAGGAAAGCCCGAAGTGATGCAGGCCTCAGACGTTTACCCACGAGCACGGGTATGGTGCTAACAAACCTAGAAACATAATCCGGGCGAACCCGGATTCGAACCCACAATCATAGGTTTCTGGCGTGCCCAAGGGACGCAACTCTGCACAGCGATTCGCGGCGCCTTAAATGACTGGGCCACCCATGGCCCCATATGTATAATGACGCCACCTTTAAGAGTGTTTGTTTGCTTGTTTGTTGTTTAACGCCGCACTCAACAATATTCCAAGCATATGACGGCGATCTGTAAATAATCCAGTCTGGACCAGACAATCCAATGATTAACATCATGAACATCGATCCATGCCGCTGTATATCTTAATTATAACATGATGGTTTCAACAGCATATGCGGGGGAAAAGAAGAATTAGTAAAAGTAAAAATTAACCTTTTTACAAGCACTAACCTCCATGAATCCTCTCTTAAGCGTCATATTCCATTGAGTAAGAACAGCAGCTTGGCCATCCCAGTACCACTTATCCTCGTAGCCGTAGTTCTGTGTGTAGTTAAGGAACGTCTGTCTGTTTTGCAGCAGTTCCTGAAGAGATTTGTAGGCTATGAACTCGTTCGTGAAGGTCTTCACGCCAACCAGCTCAGCCACGCGGCGACAGTCAGATGGCTGTGTACCCATGAACAAGGCCACTGGGTACAGCAGATAGGAGCAAATTAACTGAAAGAAGAAGACAATGTCATGAATGTAGCAATGCATCAGGGTTAGATTTGGTCATGCTTGCCTTAAAATGCGACCATGCTTGTCGTAAGATGCGACTAACGGGATCGGGTGGTCAGGCTCGCTGACTTGGTTGAACAAGGCAATTGGATACAACATTTAGGAACATATAAACTGAAAGAAGAAGACAAAAGCATTGCAATCGCAATGGGGAACATTACAAAGCATGTCAGTCATAGATATTGCAATTTGCTTTGCAGTGTAACTTCTCTTAGATTTCATGCCAGGGCCCGTTGGTCGTTGGTTGGAACTCCACATGCTCCCTGAGTTTGCATTATATAAGAACATGCCCTGCATCATTGTTGAGCTCTTTTCCTAAATTAATCTGACACTCTTGCACAAAACGAATCCTGATAAACATTTACTGCAAGTACATACATTCACGTGGCCATGATGCAGATTTGATTAAGGTTCTTGTTTGATTGAATGCTTTATAATTTGTTCAGGGACAGGCCACCGTCCATTACTATTTCATAACAAATGTTACACATTTGTACCTCAGTTCTGTACCCACTTACCACACGATCAAAAGAGAGATTCGTTCATATCTCCCGCTATCCTTGCACGCTTACCATTGTCAATACATAATCATATTTCCAAGAAAATGATATGAACCAATACCAACTCGTCTGATACATTTGCAAAGTGTCGTAGACCATTTTGGAAAAGATCCAACAAGAAGAAAAAACAGCCAAATTTGAAAATGTTGCTATTCCAAAGCAACAGAGGAAAAATGAAACAAATTCCGAAAAATGTTTAGAAACGAACCCTCTTCTCAGAGCAAAATAAGAAAAAAGTAAGAGACATTACACTGTAAAAAATTACTTCTTTATGTCTGTTTTAAAACTTGGTAACACACTCAACAATGATCAATGATGTTTACAAAATGTCATCTATAAAGGTTTCTTAGAAATTGGCAGTATTCAAACTCAATCAAAAATGTTTATCCTTTGATGATGCATGCAAAATGTAATCCTTGTGTCATAGCGGTTTCCACAACAATCTGTTCCATTTGGGGATCGCAGAGGATCAACAGGCGTATCCCTTTATTATGTATGCTTTATCACTGTCATGCTTGTATCCAGTCCTATTCTTTTGGGTACAGGGGGCACGGGTGGCCCAGTCGTCCAAGGCGCCGCGATTCGCTATGCAGAGTTGCGTCCCTTGGGCACGCCAGAAACCTATGACTGTGGGTTCGAATGCCGGTTCGCCCCGATTATGTTTCTAGGTTTGTCAGCACCATACCCGTGCTCGTGGGTTTCACCGAAGTGGTAAACGTCTGAGACCTGCATCACTTCGGGCTTTCCTCCCACATTAAGCTGACACGCCGTGATATAACTGTAACTCTGGGAATTTATATGAATTTCTGATGTGGAGTTTCGAACTCAAACATCATATACTCTTCAAAATAAGAAACGCAGAGCCAGATTTGTGTGAGGTAGGAAAATAAATTTATATAGGAACCGTACAACCGCCAAAATGTTGTGGAGAGAACACTTGCTGATTGTAGTCATCTCAGTTATCGGTACATAGGAAAAGTCCAAGGTGAAGGTCAGTGTGGTAGGAGAATTTCCTTGATGTATCGTTGAGCCGTAAGATATGGACCAAACCTGTCCTGCCATGATGAGAGATAGCCGCCTGCATCATAACGCTACCCCCACCAAACCTGTCCACTTTCTGTACGCAGTTTCCGGCGCAACGTTCTCCCGGGCGTCTGTAGACCCGTGCTCGTCCATCCCCTCGACGGAAGAGAAATCTTGATTCGTCGCTGAATCAGACATCAGTCCATCGCATTTGGAGCCATACCTGTGTTGACGACACCAATGCAGTCGTTGTTGACGATGTTGTCGATTCAATATGACGCGTCGAGCAGGACGTCTTGCTCGTAGACCTGCTGCTTTTAAACGGTTTCGTACGGTCTGGTCGGAGACTGCGCAGTCCGGGTATTAGGGACACGGTTGAGGTGGCTGTGGTCGTCCGTCCACGGAGGTGGCGCAGTGGGATGTAGCGATCTTGGGCGGGGGTGACGTTGTTTATTTACAATTCTGTTAATCTTGGCAAGTTGTTGAACTGTCACTTTTCGATCGACACAGATGCCAGGCAACCAAAAACCCTGCACTTTAATGCCATTCATAGTGCAATACGTGCAGCTCCATGTCAATTTTGTTGATGCACTAGGTACGTTTTTCCGAATCGTACATATTTCCCGACTAATGGTTTGTATGACCTTGTGATCAGTTTGATCCGGGAAATTTGTCACTGACGCTATAAGACATTAAACCTCTTCATTTGGCACCTCTTGGTCCGCTAATTGTGCATCTATGGCCAAAAATATACGTATTGCGTTTCATTTTTTGAAGAGTATATGTATGTATATTTGTCATCATCAGGGATCCTGTGCAGCATGTTCAAAGATTAAACAAGAGCCATAACTCAATAAAGTATAACATTTCGATCAACATATTTATCCATTAACGATGTATGCAAACTGTCACCCTCGTATGGTAAAGGTTTCCTCTTGTCCAAAATAACAAAGTCTTTTACTCTGTAAACTATTTAGCTCCCAATTCTGAGTTTTGAACTCTACCAACTTTTGTATCCCTTGATCCCAAAATATCATAATTAAATCCATAGCTGTTTCCGAAAAGCCGTTTTCCTGCTCGACTTCACGACCAGGGAGTAGCTTTTTTTACAAAATACAGTGCTCACAAAGGTAAAGGCACCAAATATTTAAAAAAACCAAAATATCAAGTTCAACGTTCACTAGCATATCAAGGAACCTCCTGTGCTTTGTGAATGCAAGCAGTACGTTTTATGCAAAAACATGAAAAAAAACAGTGAATGACATTACTTCTTTGCCTTTTCGCTATTTGGTAGTGATTCATAAACACATACCAGTTGGAATAGTACAATGGACTGAGATTATGAATAGTTTAAAATCAATTTTGTGAACAAGCTCCCTTATAAATTACTTAACTATGTTGTCCTACCTCAAATGTGAAGCCTTCGACGCCTACACGGTCCCCAAACCAGTTTAGTGTGGCATTGACGAAGGAAAGTAGAGAGAGAAAAGCAATGAGGTTGACAACGATGTTGGCGATGAGGCTGATGGACGTTGATGCACCCTCGGAGGCCGCCTCAATCAGGTTGCGTTCCTTCCTGTGACATTAAAAGACTAAATTATGCCATTAACAAAATGTTTCAACCTCTAGAAGCGTAGGATTGTTATATACAGACTTTGATCCATTACGATATTCAAGATAAAACTTTCACATGTATATTCTAAAAATGCGCTTTGGGCAGGAAGGTAGGCACTCCAGTCTTTACAGTTGCACCGATATTTGTATTCAAGTCTTAGATGAGACTTTGGGTAATTGGCTACGGGTATCTTGAGAAAGGTATATTTGTTGTGGAGGTTTACGTGTCTTGTACACGAATAGGGTCAGTCATATATGTTGTTTGTTACGAACATTTGTTTTCAAGTTTAAAGATGCTCATCATCTTCATCTCCATGGCTAGAATTTCGGTAAACCTCACTAACCCCTATATCCATTCCCGTGGTTCTTGCGATCGCAAATTACCCGACCTGAATTTTTAAATTTTACCGACCAAATCCATCGCTGACATAAGGGAAATGGTAAGGGAGGTATCTCGTATTACCTACAAACCAAAGCCAAGGACAGTTATCATGGACATGAAGACGTCCTTTCCATCAAAATATTTTTGAGGGTTGCGTTTGCGTGTCAGTCAGTGAACAAGATAAGCCTCCTATTGACAACAATGACAATGGCCAGCATTTTTCATCCTCTATATCTCCAGGCCTCGCATTTTGGCAAACCCACACTAAACCCTGGATCAATTCCCGTGGTTCTCAAGGGATGTCCTGTCAAGGCCGATGGCTGTTGGGCAAACCCACTATTCTTCCTTTTACTGATTTATGATGTTAATGTGGACTACTAGTAGACAACAAACACTATACACCCACCCTTTCATCGTTTTCCCATAGTCGTGTGACGATGCGGTGGTCACTTCAGTCTCTGGACACATCAGTTTAGAGATGGCCAAAGCCGCTGGTGCGGACATTATTGACGCTGACAGTAAATGATTGGCAGGAACCTGAAGAAAGAATTAAATCGGAAGTGAGAGTATGTGTAGATTATTAGGCATATGTAACAACTGTTTGAACGTACTGCGACGAGCTTCTATATTCGACTTAGTTTCAGTGGATTGTCGTGTTCGTTAACACGTAAGTATCAGTTGATGACACTGAACTATTCTTTCCCGCAGGGAGTATTAAGGATGGATCTTTCTAGAATACCAATAATATATCTCTGAAATGTAAACTATGCAATGTGTGCGATAAAATCGACCGTTCTCTTAATCACTCCTATCTAAATTCTTCTAATTTCTATAAATGTATCATAATTATCCTATCGCATAGCATCAAAAACTCCAAAATTTAAACCCGTAAACCAGTAATAACAGATTAATCATATTGTTACTTTTTGGGGAGGTTGCCTTTCATAGGAGAGAGAATATGTTTCCTCAAAACCAGTAACATATTCATACATGATTTATTGGTAAAGTAACAGTTTTAGCGAATGTATTTTACATAAATTGAAAAATAATTTAGGGTGCATTAAGCGTTTGTACGTAGTTACCACAAATGGTTGTACGTTTTTCAAAGCATGGCACATATGCTTTTATATAAATTTATTCTGGACAAACTTTATTTACAATAATAATTATCAGTAGGGATGTGATATGTTGTCTTACCCCAAACCCGATATAAGCTCCAAACAAGCCTCCTGCAATTGTAGCGAATCCTCCTGTCATCACTGCGTGGAGCTCGGAAACTGTCATTGTCTCCAAAAATGGCTTGATCAAAAGTGGCGCTTCAGCCTGAAAAACAATAATCCATAAGCAGGTAAAAGCTTGCTCTTATCAGCTGGTTCAGCTGAGTCCCCGGTAGACACGTTTTGTAATGACCTCATGATCATACATAAAAACGGTATCCAGCGGGGACAAGCGTACATGTAGTTGTTTATTAATTACTCATTTAAACGTTATAGATTATCGAAATTCGACACTGAAAAAAGACGTGGTTGGTACATGGGTGTCAAAATTTCACCAGATAGGATAAATGGCCATCTACAAATATTTTATCATTGCTAATTTAGATAATTGTCCCCCTATGTGGCACTTCTGGAACAAATCCAGCGAGAGAAAATCAGGGACAAGTCATTCTTTTTTTTATAACGACAACTGTTCTCCACTCGTATGCCTTCTTCTAATGGCTGGTGGGGGGCACGGGTGGCCCAGTCGTCTAAGGCGCCGCGATTCGCTGTGCAGAGTTGCGTCCCTTGGGCACGCCAGAAACCTATGATTGTGGGTTCGAATCCCGGTTCGCCCCATTTATGTTTCTAGGTTTGTCAGCACCATACCCGTGCTCGTGGCTTTCACCGAAGTGGTAAACGTCTGAAACCTGCATCACTTCGGGCTTTCCTCCCACATTAAGCTGACACGCCGCGATATGACTGGAATACTGTTATAAGCGGCGTTAAACCCAACTCACTCACTCACTCACTCACTCATTCACTCACTCATTCTAAATGCTGGTACAGACATTTATGTATAAGGCGTCATTGGGATCCCCGAATCCCGCGTACAAAACGAGAATTGACAGCCTCATTATATGATATAATGTATGATCAATTTATGATGAAACAGTTGACACGGTTCACTTACTGGTAAATGACAAGGCTCGACTTGATCATACTGTTCACCCTGATTTAATGTAGAGTGTAACAGTCTATAGCTTTGGACCGGACCGTTAATTTTAATTCCCCAGGCCTGCCCCCCAGTGAGAATAAACCGGAACACAACATGCCCAATGAATTCCATAAGCTGAATCTTTTTGGCAGTTCTGCGGACTGGTCCACAAATGAGACGGTTCTATATGCAATTGCTCAGTCATCCGATGACTCAGCCGGGGACTCCTCAATTCTAGTATTTATTTTCTCTTCTATCTTGATGTTTCTTTTTCGTGAACGTATTTCTGTTTTGCAGATTGGTTTTAGCTGGTTTGAGGGAAAATTGCTTTATAGCTTATGTGCTTTGTATTATAATATCCGACGTCAAATAAAGCTTCTTGTATCTTGTATTTATACACACAAACATCCCCAAGTTAGAATCATCTTAATTCAGCTGAATCTCTAGCTTCCAACATGGTTTTGATTACCTGGGGGAATAATCGAGTCATGCCATGTTGGCTATGTGATTTCATACGAGTCAGCAGATGGTTCATCAAAAGGTTCTAAACCTTACTAACTTTCAACTATGGGCCATAACAAAGTGAACTAGTCAATGTAGTACATTGTTTGAGTAGTTCATTGCAAGTGTATTTGGTTTGTTGAGGCCGTTTGTACATTAGTGACAGCCAGTTGAAAATGGTAGGAGCCCAAATGGACACAGAAATAGAAAAGAACGAGTACCAAGCAGTTTTTTTCAAGAAAAGTAATCTCCATATATGACCGCATGTCACAAGAGTATAGGGTAAGTGCCCGAGCTATTCAACTAATAAACATTGGGCACTTAGGTTTAAGGCTGGGACAACAAGCCTTGATAATGACCCTATGTCTGGACGTCCCTCAACTTCCATCAAAGAAGATTCAATCAAGGAGATAGAAAACTTATACTGTCAGATAGAAGTATTACAATTGCTGACCCGTGAAGATCCGGCGTAGAAAAGATCTTTAGCAACCCATTCTTGCCGTAAAAGGCCTATACAGTAAACTACGGTTATAGCGAACACGCTTATAACGAACTGACGGATATAAGAACTTACTTTTTTGGACCCGACTATTTGCTGTAGTTATGCTGTATATATGCTTATAACGAACTACGGTTATAACGAACTAAAATTAGTAGTCTCTTTGAGTTCGTTATAACCGTACTTTACTGTAATAGGTCTTCAGAAACCTACGCTTGCCATAAAAGGCGACCGTGCTTGTCGTAAGAGGCGACTAACGGGATCGGGTGGTCAGACTCGCTGACTTAGTTGATGCATGTCTTCGTATTCCAATTGCGTGGATGGATGCTCATATATCTGGAATATTATCGCCGAGTGTGGCGTTAAACAACAAATAAACAAACAAACAAAATTACCATTGCTGAACTTGAGTAGGACACTGGTCTAAGCCATGGATCCATTGAAACTATTATTCATGAAATGTAAAGACGAATAAGATATCTGCTCGTTGGGCGCCAAAGTTTCTAAATTCTGATCTTTAGGAAAAAAGAACTGACATTGCCAGAGAACATTTAGAGCTAATTGAGGAAGATTTCGTCAAATTCAAAAAGAGATTAGTAACGGGTGATGAAACACGGGTCTATCGCTATGATGCCGAGTCAAAACGTCAATCCATGGAATGGTACCATTCCACTTCTCCTGCACCAAAGAAATTCAAGTCTTCCAAATCAGTGAAGAACTATTTCATGGCAATGCCTCTTTTCACACCTCTCGACTTGCAAAGACTGCTGTGCGACAATGTGGGTTCGAAAAGCCTCCTAACCCTCCATACTCGCCAGCCCTGGCACCAAGTGGTTTCCACCTGTTTTCTAAACTGAAACAACGCCTTCGTGAACAGCGCTATGATGGCAATGATGACCTCAAAGCTGCCGTGAATGGGTTTCTCATTGTGGCTTCACAACACTTCTTCCTGGAATTGAAGAGCTTCACTATCGATATGAGAAGTGTATTAAACATCAACAGGGGGATTAAATTGAAAAATATAAATAAACACTTTCACAATTGTTGTTTTTTGTTTGTTAGGCTTAGAACTTTATGACCAGACCTCGTTTATCATTTGTTCATTTTCGGAGCAGGAAGGATTCACTACAGGAGATTGAGGTCGACAGTTATAACGACTGTCCATTTGGTCCAAGGAGCGCTACACCCATTTACATCACAACGTTCAATACGTGGAGGTGGTAGTGAATGGTTAGACGATCTCTCGACATAATACTTTGTTTGTTAGTGATGCCCTGAACTTCTTCAATCCCATGATACTTCCGCTACTACAATACGAAAGTGGGAGTCGTATACTCTTTTTCAAAAGTTATGCGGTAGATGGCAAAACGCACAAACTTCAAGTAAAATATGTCAGCAATACAGTTTTGAGATGCATGGTTGTTTTTTAAAACAATAGTTTCTATCGGGAGTAGAGTAGATGTAACAATACAGCTGCACAGTGGTTACCGACGCCACCCTTCCAGTAGTGAGTGAGTGAGTGTGTATGGTTTTACGCCGCTTTTGGCAATATTCCAGCAATATCACGGCGGGGGACACCAGAAATGGGCTTCACACATTGTACACATGTCGGGAATCGAACCCGGGTCTTCGGCGTGACGAGCGAACGCTTTAACTACTAGGCTACCCGACCGCCCCCCTTCAAGTAACCAACTGATGCCAACATAATCGCGTCCTTACAGGTTATGTATTGTTATTAAACGGGTTGTAGGGTGAGTTATAAAATACCAAGAGAAAATGTCATGTGAAAACTGGAACAAATATGCTACAAATTACACCTGGTGAAAGAAAACATACTGGGTGGACTGTTCCTGTTGGTAGCGTGGTATCATTCTAATTTTCCGACATCTGTATTTTAGGAATGAGTAAGTGAGTTGGGTTTAACGCCGCTTTTAACAGTAGTACAATTATATCGCGGCGTGTCAGCTTAATGTGGGAGGAAAGCCAGAAGTGATGCAGATCTCAGACGTTTACCACTTCGGTGAAAGCCACGAGCACGGGTGCTGACAAACCTACAATTATTATCAGGGCGAACCGGGATTCGGATTCACAATCAAAGGTTTTGGGCGTGCCCCAATATTTTAGGAAAACATTAGAACCATGCTGTTGAAAAGGACACTTCTAGAGAATGTAGAAAACGCCGTAAAATACTGTTGAAATATGCTTTTCCAGATCTCGAGAGGGTCCTTTAAAGCAAAGATGTAGAGAACAGGAATGGACTACCATGCCAATAAAAATGTTTGCTGCAGCATTCAGCGACTCCGCTGGTGTTGTCCCGAGGCAAAATGACAGGAAGCGTCCAGGGACACGAACCACCGCTTGCATGACACCCAGGTAATACATGGTGGAGATGAAGGCGCTGAAGAAAGTGACCACAGCCATAATCTGAAAACAGATGATGTTTGGAAACAATTGATTCTGCTTTATCATTTGTAGTTGTTCATAATGTTCAAATAAACAATATTCTGTCCAATTTGATAAAATGTGTTTGTTTGTTTGTTTGTTGTTTAACGCCGCACAAAGCAATTATCCACCTTAATGACGACTGTCTGTAAATAATCGAATCTGGAACAGAAAGTCCAGTGATTGACATCATGGGCATCGATCACCGATCTACTTGGGATACGATGAGATGCATCAACCATGTCAGCAAGCCGGAGCCAACCGATCCCTTCGGGTGCCTCCTATGACAAGGATGAGTTGCTGAAGACCAATTCTAACCCGAATCGTCACGGGTGGTTGAACTATAAGAAGATCAATACGAATGTTGTTTCAAAGTCCATGTACGCCGGTCCATACATGTACATGTTGAATGAAGACAGTTATTACAGGCTCTCTTTAATGTGATAATTCGTCTTCTTGAAACTGGGGTGCATGTACAAACGGTTCATATATGACAAAGATATGGATTATTTGGAGTATTTTCAAAATACCTACAGCAAATGCAAAGACATAAGCCTCAGTATTATCAAAGACGAACTTAGATGCAACATCAGTGTGGGCCAGGAACTCGGTCACTCGATCACCAAGCCACTTGAACCCATCGTATCCCCACTGTCTCCGCAGGATGATGGCAGCAAAGAAAAACTGGAGAGCCAGTCCCCAGAAAACCGGGTGCCAGTCGACCTGAAAACAGTATTGCAGAGAACCAATCTCATCGAAGACATAGGTCTTACACTCTGAGTTCATTAAGACTTCGAGGGCACCGGTGGCCCACTCGTTTAAGGCGCCTCGATTCGCGGTGCAGAGTTGCGTCCCTTGGGCACGCCAGAAACCTATGGTTGTGGGTTCGAATCCCGGTTCACCCCAATTATGTTTCTAGTCCCTTGGGCACACCAGAGACTTATGGGTTTGTCAGCAACGTACCCGTGCTCGTGGGTTTCACGTAAGTGGTAAACGTCTGAGACCTGCATCACTTCGGGCTTTCCTCCCACATTAAGCTGACACGTCGTGATATAACTGTAATATTGTCAAAACCTAACTCACTCACTCACTCATTTAGAATTCAACATGCACCACTTTCCATACTGGATGAGTTGCGCTACCCACCTTTCCGGGGTTAGTGGAGGAGATGAAACACAAGATGATGAAGGCAGCGAGACCTGCGAGGGATATCAGGTTGTCAGGTGTGGGGATGGCCACCTCATTCACCAGGATCGCGATCATTGCTACCAGACATAACACGTACATCACCCTGAAACATGGTAACGTGTTAAATAGACATGATAATCACCAACCACACTTCTACATCCATAGTACCACTGCAAACATTATAACAATACATTGTAATATTTTTACATTACTTATATAATTATCATGGAACAGTTGATTGGAACAATAGACGTCACTGAAGAATCTCCCTACAACACTTATGCATTGAATAGGAACCCGTGAACATACAGATTAGAATGGTTCTTCAGCAACCCACGCTTGTCGTAAGAACAGAACAGAACAGAAGTTTAAGAGGGGGTCAGTCTCGCTGACTTGTTTCATGCATGCCATTGTATCTTAAATGCATGGATTGGTGGTCACAATATCAATTAATTAACTGGTCCAGGCTCGACTTGTATACAGACGCCCACCAGGTATTCGGAATATTGCTGAGTGCGGCGTTGAAATCAAACAAACAAACAACCACCCTCACCCCTACCCCTCCCCACATCAGCGAGCATGACCATCCGTTCCCTTTAGACGCCTATATATTAGGACAAGAATGATGGTTTGCGGAAAACCAATTCTAACCCGGATTCTTCACGGGCCTAAGGAATATGAGAGCAATAATGATAGTAGTTATTCTACTAATCTATTCCATAAGCCCAAAGTAATTGTTTATTAGTTTTGCTGTTTTGCTATCTCGAAGGCCTTACCATCTCAAAATTTTCATTCTGATAGCAACGTCAGTGTTACTGAACAAGCATCCACATGCTTCAAACGGGGCCTTGATGGAGTCCCACACCAGATTCATCACGATGAGAAACACACCAAATATGGTTCCTACTAAAAGTCTGATGGAACCTTCATCTCCAAATTGCCAGTGCATAGCATAGCCAAAATAGGCCACGTATAACAGAAATGCAACAATAGCAATGCTTTTCCATATCCATGTGGTGTGTTCCTTGTGAAAAGCTATGACTTTACTTTGTGCTGATGTTATGCCAATTTGACAACAATTCATATCTTCATCCTTCTGGTTTTCGGGATCATATTCAGGGCTGTTATTTCTATGACTCATTCCAAAAGTTGGTGTCTGAAGAATAAAAAAAGAATACTCATATGAACAAGATAACTGGGAATACGAATACTAGTTGGTTTTTTTATAGGGTTGTGGAATTCAAGAGGTGATGTCTGGCTGATGTTAGGCTTCTGAAAGTGTCCAAATTCAACAGTTTGAACTACCTAATGGAAAACGTTATGATTACATGAATATGATCACTTGTACCCTTGGTAGCAACGAAAAAACTGTAGATTGTATATTCTGACCCGTTTGTCGGTTTATTAATATGTATGAGGTTTTAAAGCCAAGGTATGACGAAACCGTTGAATTGTGCTATGCATTACAAAATGTATTCAGCCTCAAATATCCCTGAGTCGCAGGTGCAGATGAATAGGTAACACCATGTTACTAGATCAGAATACATGTTACAACGGGACATATGACTCGGACACAGATACGAGCTGGTGTGGGTGGTCGTTGTTTGGGGAATGAATAGTTTGTTCATAAATTGCCCAAATTATTCCCAGTGTTCTATTATGTTGGAGTTGGTGGTTTAAATGAAGTTTGCATCATGGAAAATACCTAAAGTTAAATTATTTGTGTTGATAAATAAAAAAAAAAATAAAAAAAATAAATAAATAAATAACACCAAACGGATTATGGATGCCCCATACAACAATGAGGTTACAGTTGAATTGAGAGTACAGTTATAATATAGCGGTGACCCGGATGTCTCTTTGAGGAAAACAGATTGACACATATGATATATATGTAGCACTGTCTTTACCTCTGTCATTCTATTGCAGAAAGGTTTGTTCAAACAAACAAAAACATGACTAATTCAATGCTTATACATTCACTAGTTGGATTCCACCTTACGTTTGTAAAGCGTATGACTTATTTCTTGTTGTGTAAATATAAAATGTCAACGCCAGAGAATAACCTATCTCCATCATCCGACGAAACAGACTCCATTGTGCAAAAGGCAAAATAGTGGTGTGAATTACATTACATGTATGGATCATTGAAAATATGTGAAAGCACCTTACATTTGCAGGACTGTCAGTACTTGGTGTTGCATGGGTTGGGTTGTCTTGACCTTCCTCCGTACCGTCTGCTGCCTGATGGCTGATCTGGGTCGGCCCAGCATTCATTCCGACAAAAGGGTGTCTCTCTGATCACTGCGTCAGAAAACAGGTCAACTGTGTGAATAAGCCTATTCTCCGTAACGGAGCTGTCTGCACGTATATGTGTGTGTAGTTGCTATGTATACATACGGCCCATATTATGTAAATCATCAACGTCGAGCAAACTCTATAGCCAATTGTGCCTTGCACAGTCTATTTCGTTCTCATTCGCATGAGACCTACATGGTGATACCTGTTTCTACTAGAAAACCCCCCAGAAAAAACATCACATTCAGCGTCATTCAATTCCACTGATATCAACACGTATGTCAGTACCCCCGTCAGATCCAACGACCCCGTGTTGCCTGGTACGTTTAACCTGTTAGATGCCATTGCCGCAGACAAACAACCCACTACCATCTACCCGATATACCAACCACATCAAACAACCTTCAACAGTTTTGTACGAGAGCCATGAACAGATAATACTTCTGATAGAAAAAAATACCTTTCACAAACAAATCTCAGCCACAAACGGAGACGATTGTACGATTCGGATTATATCATGAGCATGTGCTTATGACTCACTAACAGTGTTGAACCAGATGTTCGTGAAAAGCTGGGCGTATCCTGTCCCACCGGTGGCACAAACACATGCAAAGGCAAGTCAATTATTCACCTTAAAGAACACGGGAAGATATGGTACAAGTTGAAATAGGGAATGGCATCAGACATCGTTTTTGTCACTGATGCGTCAAATTTGGATATGTCCTCCACATGTCTACCATACGACTTTTTGAAAGTTTTACTCAGGCCTTGAACATTGTAACTTTGATCAAACTTCTGAACAAGAGTCGTATGACGCTCTTTGAAAGCTTGGTAGAAAGATCATGTTTGATGGTACCTCAAAGGAGCTGCAGGAATATTGTTCGACATAAAGGAACTATTGGAAAGTTGAAGTCCTCCCTCTTGCCATAGTCTTGTGGAGCTCATTTGTCACTCTGAATCTTTATGCACAGATGTAAATATGAAACAGATGAAACTGTCTCCCTGGTCTTCGTTATTTCTAGTTCATGATCAGGTGAGTAATTATGATTCATGTGCATAAAGAAACGGATGAGCAAGAAGGGGAGGGCAATTGGTTCCTTTTGGGCTGCCTACTTCTTGCCTAAATGTCTTGACTCTCATAGACATTACGTAGCTATTATCAATGTGGAACTCCAGCATTTGACATATTGGGGGCGGTCGGGTAGCCTAGTGGTTAAAGCATTCGCTCGTCACGCCGAAGACCGGGTTCGATATCCGACATGGGTACAATGTGTGAAGCCAATTTCTGGAGTCCCCCACCGTGATAATGCTGGAATATTGCTAAAAAAAAGGCGGCGTAAAACTATACTCACTCACTCAATTTGACACATTGTTTTCGCAGTAAACTTCAGATGGCATTTGCATTCATTTTTGACAAATTGACCTGAACATCTGAAAATAGATTTGTAACCATGTTTTATAATTAACAAAAGCCTCAGGTATCAAGGATTGACGTTTTTTCTTTAATTTGTCATGTGAAATAGTGGTGTATAAAGTTTAAAATTCAAATGATTTGACAGAATTGAGCCTGTTTGGTTTCTGAGATTGTGAAAAATCAAGCAAATCCTTGGAGTTTTCGAGAATCCACGTAGTATTCATTCCACTTGTCACAAATACTTTCTGTGAACATGAAGAAAGTCCTTCCTTGATTATATCAAGGATTATGGTTAATCTTTGAGACAGGGATTTGGTGGTACATTTAATTTGTTGGACCCAGCAATATATCTTCCTTTGTATTTATATGGAGCTTAGGAATCCAGTACAAAAGAGGAATGGACGTGTCTTCGGGTTTTAGAGTCAATTCAAAAGTTGATAGCACTGATGTATGGTTTGGGCAGATTTCTTCCTCAGTGATCATACTGGCCTTATGTGTGGCATTACTTGATATGTCACATCTTCAAATGTTCTTTGATCAAACGATTAATGTAGAGATGCTTACATATAATGGTTATGTTATTTGAGACCTTGTCAGTGGGAAGAACTACAAACTTTTCATGAAAGGCAGCCATACATTGGATGACAGCTGGATGGGACAAAATGGGTTTTCCTTTTCCTCTTTTTCAATTTATGCATTTATCAACATCACGCACTGACGTAACCCACTCTGAAAGACATTCAACACGTTCCGCTTCTCTTTTGGTCCATTTATTGGCTTATGCTTCGAGTGAAGGCATAATTATTTTAAGGTTGTGATCCCAATCGGAAGGAGATTGCTCACGATATTTTGGCAGGGGCACGGATGGCCCAGTCATCCAAGGCGCCGCGAATCCCGGTTCGCCATGATTATGTTTCTAAGCTTGTCAGCACCATAACCGTTCTCGTGGTTTTTTGCCGAAGTGGTAAACGTCTGAAAAACTGCATCACTTCGAGCTTTCCTCCCACATTAAGCTGACACGCCGTATTATAACTGGAATACTGTTAAAAGCGGCGTTAAACCCAACTCACTCACTCACTCACGATATTTTGGTCCGTATTTGACCAACTATTTGAATAACTGTCCAACAGATTTTCAACTACTGTCTACACCGACAAGTGGATCTCGATCTCCATGTCTCAACCACGCAAACTACCATACACTCTGCTCCGGAAAATGAGCCAAAGAGTGAGTGAGTGAGGTTTTACGCCGCTTTTAGCAATATTCCAGCAATATCACGGCGGGGGAAACCAGAAATGGGCTTCACACATTGTACCCTTGTCGGGAATCGAACCCAATGACGAGCGAACGCTTTAACCACTAGGCTACCCGACCGCCCCCGAAAATGAGCCAAAGAGAATCATAAAACATTCTCAGCATGTCTGTAGTTCTCTCTTCATTGAAATGACACATTCATTAAACTGACACTTGGCTTACCTTACAGATAACGAATTTGTCCGCGTTCTTTGTCCTTGTAGTTGACATCTCAAGGTTTACTCTCCTCGACAGAGGTCGGCTTACTCTGCTCACAGAGCTGGACTCCTCTCGTAGCAGAGATTTATTAGTTTATTTGCACTGTCCTGTCACTGAGTTGTCTGAGTCATCGTTCACTTGTTTGTTTGGTTTGTTTACGGGCCGCCGTCGCATGGCAGTAGCACAGTTGTGCAGCTTCAGGCAACATACACTTACATTTTTAAGCAAATTTTGTAAATGACAGATGCTATCGGTAGGGCAGGATATGCTTACCCTGGAGGCATCCCGGATTTCAGTGGTCCATTCATTTTCCGTTCTACGCCAAATCTGTTTGGGCGGATAATCTAAATTGGTTATTCTCTTCCTTGACAATTGGTGTTTTATGAATATGTAAAGGGGTTCGTCGCTTTTGTTTACACACATACATTGTTTGAGAGACATTTCTTAGACGTTGACGGATGGCAAAGTAGACAATTTACGGATAACAGCTTCTTTACTATAAGGAATACTATTAAGACGTTGTTATCCATTGTGTCTACTTTGACATCTACATTGTAAGTGACTAAGATATGAATGCTAAACTGTTTCACCGTCAGGATGTGGTGTTTGTTGCTTCACATACATTCGAAAAGCAGTGTAAGATATATTCCGTATTCGACGTAATAAGCGCCCAAGCCGACATTTGTTAAGATATTGGCTAGTGAACAATTCCTCTTAGCACCCCTTCCGATTGATCAATGTACACAAGACTTATTTATTCGCGTATAATACGTACTCGTGTGTTATATGCACCCTTAATTATGGGCATTTAATTTTGGAAAAATATATCTGTCGTACATAAACATTTCAGGCTGTCAGCATAAACCACGAAATTTATCTATGACTTTCAACCAAAATCTTTTCACCAAAATAATATTCTAATAAGAGCCCCCTATTTCTAATTTTGAGAGCGCCCTGGGCGCTTTTTACGTCGAATACGGTAAGCCTTTGTTTGTTTGCCTTTATGTATTCACCCAGTGCTCTATTGTTTACCTCCACGTATCTCTATCAAAGATTCATTAACAGAAAACGATCGAGCACATGTGTCGAGTAACGTGTGTCGAAATCAAACGGCAGGATTGGTTCGTCTACTGTCATTTCGCAAGGACTGTTGTGGGGCGGTCGGGTAGCCTAGTGGTTAAAGCGCTAGCTCGTCACCCCGAAGACCCGGGTTCGATTCCCGACATGGGTACAATGTGTGAAGCCCATTTCTGGTGTCCCCCGCCGTGATATTGCTGGAATATTGCTAAAAGCGGCGTAAAACCTCACTCACTCACTCACTCAAGGACTGTTGTGGCTATACATTAAGGTAGCGCAGTAATGTAACATGTAAAACCTGCCATACAGGTATTTAAACTGAAGTGAAATATTTTTTTACGACGGCTGCTCACATTGCGTTTCATATGACATGACAAGCAGCCAGTGATTGATGTTTTGTCACCGGGTCGTAAAACCACGCTCGTCACGCTCTAGTGACCGTACCGCCTCCATACTCGAAACTTTCCGTGATGTCGGCAGAGCTCGGTGTCTTAATGTCTAGTTAGAAAATGTGTTGCTCGTGTATTAAATTTTCTAACATTTTAATCTCATACTTTTATCATGTATTAATTGGATAATTTTTTATATGTTATCTCATATGTATGTAATGCTCTTGGTGTATTTGGGGCGGTCGGGTAGCCTGGTGGTTGAAGCGTTCGCTCGTCACGCCGAAGACCCGGGTTCGATTCTCGACATGGGTACAATGTGTGAAGCCCATTTCTGGTGTCCCCCGCCGTGATATTGCTGGAATATTGCTCCATACTCACTCACTCTTGATGTATTGAAAGTGTTTTTGTAACTTTAATTTTCATGCAACAGCGGAAGTATCTAGTACTATGTAGATATTTATATGTATTTATGGAGATTTTTGCCATCCTACTAATTGTACATATGTGGTTGTAAATGTTTACTGCCACCCTCAGATAGCTCATGTTCACCCCATCATTTTGGTACCGACATCTTCCATATTGGTTAAGTAGTTAGTTTGCTGTTATGGTTTTCTCATTTTAGAAAACACATCCTGTTAGCCCACCAGATGCTGCCGTTCTCCCGGCTAGCAAGGGGAGGTTGCCTTCACCGACGTCCGCGCGTCTCGTATAAAGGTATCGACACAGACACATTTGGTAAGCCTCCATAGCAAAAAGATGGCAAGCCCAATGGGACGCAAGTAAGATCGGCAGATGGCTATACAAAATTCAACCCAAGGTCCAACAAAAGCCAAACTCATGCTCAAATGAAAGGAAAATTGAAACTGCTATCTCACGCCTCAGACTTGGTCACAAAAAGCACTATGACAAGGTTTGTTCATCTTGCAATCAGGCTGAAACCATTGACCACCTGTTACTAGAATGTCAAGACCATGCCCCAGCCCGGGCTAGGTTAAAACAAGAATTGCAGTTAGATCCGCTATCTGTCATAGATCTCCTAAAGCCAAGAGATGCAATAGCGAAGGCCAAACTAACTCTATTTCTGAGAGATGGACAGCTGCTCGAACGTATATAAACAGAGCAGCCAAGGATAAAAATGAAATCATATCAATATAAGAAAATAGAAATCATATCAATGCAAAAACAGAAATTATGTGAACACCGAACTCACAATAGATATGTGAACCCTTCTCACACACAGGAGTCCCAAAGAGGGACAGGTCAGCCGAAATTGCCTAGGCAGAAGGCGACCTCTTAAACACCTTATGCAACAACAACAACAACAACATTTGGTAAGTTACAATACGCGCATCTTCCAGCGGCAAAGGTGTTAACTGACTTTATGCCGCGGGCAGATGCAATACGCGTGGGCACAGCAAAAGGACTTTTTTAATTTTTCATGGCAAATCCCTCCCAGACACCGCACAAACGAAAATCAAAACGTCCTCGCTGCAATAATACATGACATTCACTACTTCCAATCGGCAAGTAAATCTACTTGGGAAGTATCTGACGACCCATGAAGGAAGTGACCACTTCCCAATGTCAGTATATATCAAAACTGGATTTGCTATTTAAAAATTGACTAAATGCCCACAGTCCTTCATGGGCAGACAGGAACGTGCAAATACGACAACATCGTAGAAAAATGGGTTGAAGACCCACACGTCATAACCATGTCCACATTACATGGAGTTCATATGACCTCACAATTGCCATGAAAAACCTCGCCTCACATTGCTGATGGCAAGTCAATGATAACACTTGGAGAAGTGACCACGTTCCTATTACTCACCTTCATAGTTAGCCCACCACAAGCAGAGGAACAGCCCAGTGACCATGCAAAGGCTGTTTGGCCCAACTTCAGGAAGGAATGTACATCATTCAAACCCTCAGAAATTGCCTTGTCACCTCAGCAACTATTGACGCAGCTGAAAAATCGGCTCCAAAAAGCCCGGCACAACTCCCGTACCATGGTAAAACAGGGAAATAGCAAAAACAAGGAGATTGAGCAAGAAAGGTCAATATAGGTAAAAAAAAAAGGGGATAAATCAACCTTCGCCCAAGTCTGAGCAGCCACCACAAAAGTAAGACATCACATAGACTATTCCATTAAAGAGTCATGGCAGACCTTCTGCAAATCTCTAAATGAAGAAATAAATGCTGGAGCATATTACATGCACACAAGGTTTAAACGTAAATCTTATTCCCAAGTTAGCCAACGCCCACATAGTCAAAGAAACAGCCAAAATTCTAGCTGAGCACTTCTCATCTGTCAGCAGCAACAAACATTGCAGCGAAGAATTCAAACAGGAAAACATGCTTGTGCCTAAGACGTCAAAACAGCCGCAAAGCAAGCATCTGGTATACAATATATCATTTACTGTAACATAGTTTGATAATGCAACGCAACATAGCAAAGGCACTGCACTTGGTCTTGACACAATCAGTAACGATATACTGAAGAACCTACCTGATCAAACCAAGATCTTTCTCAAGGGAGTTGTACAACCTTATATGGTCCAAAGGATAAGTCCCAAAAGCATGGAAACATGCTGCAGTTATCTCACTTCTAAAGCTAAGAAAAGACGAAGCCCGATCACACTCACTTCAAACATGTGAAAGGCTGTGGACGTCATGGTTACAAAAAGGCTCATGCATCACCTTGAAACTGGCAACCACATCAGACATGATCAAATCGGCTTCAGGAAGGAACACTCATGTCTAGATCATATACTGAGACTGGAAAATGATATTACAAAAGCTCTGGGTGGGGTCCTAGATCAACACCTCATTTGGAATGTGGAATGTGTGAAAAACAGATGTAAAGACCTGAACGCATTACAGTTCCTCTGGGGGCACTTAGCTGGACCTCTACAAATCACTTATCAGATCAAAAATAGACTATGGTTGTGAGGCCTTTCACTCAGCATCGAACACTCCCTCACTAAAGCCATCGGGGATATTAGTATGTGAACTCGAAGTCACAACTGTGATGACATTCAGCCACCAGAAAGTCACACCCATTGCCTATTACCAATCAGTCCTGCTGTCACCTACCATCGCTAGTTAACTGACAATTGCTACTCAACTAGCACCAATTAACTGTTAGCTTCCCTTGTTAAGTTTCCTCCTTTGTTATCTTATTACGTTTTTTGTTCTTAAAAGTGCATGTACATGTATATGTTGTTTGCTTCATAGCATTAATTCACCCGAAACATTGTGTTTCTCACAATAAAAAAGTTGACATTCTCAAATGCTCTCTCTTATGTGTATCACTTCTAAATGACATTTAAAAACCGTCAATGGATTCTATTGCTACTGGGGAGTCATGTCGAAACTTAGTTTCGCTAGTAAATAATTGTGGGGAGAATTTGTATCTTGTACAGACTTTAACCTGGTGTTACTGAGCTTAAGTTATTAGCTAGGGCATAATATCTTATACCCCTTTTTCTAGTAATCCGTGATTAATATTGTTGCTGGTCATCTATAGCCCCATTTTTATATCATATCGTATCCTGATAATCAGACAGTTTTAATGTTCTACAACTAGTTTTAAGTCAATCTGTGATATATTGCTAGTTATCTTACTGTCCTTCGTTGACAGTTTTTATTAATATTGTCTAACTCGTTCAAGTCACATATTATGGCTGAAATATTGCCGACGTGACTTTAATTAAACTCACTCACTCACTCTAGTAATCCGTGAAAAAACAATTTTCCCGGGATTGCCCAGTTCAGATCAAGTACCTATTTGCTACTGAAGTTGTAGTTTTGGAACTTCCTTGTGCAGCCAAAGCAATTTTAGTCTATAGGACATAGCTTTTATTTAGGTGTGCCCGTCTAATCTTAATTGTCCAAGAGACCTATTTTAGGGATAGTTGCTTAGTGCTTAGTCCAAGAGCACCTGCTCGAAAGAGAAAATACCGAGTGATTGACTCTAGACTCCGTGCCTTGAAAGAAGATCTGTTGGACAATAATGGACTACACTGACGATGTGGCAGATCTACTGCACCGGGAATGAACTCAGTCTGTATTATTACATAAATGATAAAATGTATGTCTATATGCATCTTCAAATACATGCATGATATATGATATGTTATACTATACTTGTTATATATTGACTTTGTTGCCCAGATTAAATAGTGTCCTCATTTCATTGGTGTTTTCTTTGTAATTAACAAGTACCGGGAAGGCGATCATCTGCCATAATAAGAATTTTTGTGATGACCGGGAAGGCGAACGTAATTTCTAACTCTGAGGGATTGATTTTCGCCTTCCCGGACCATAACCGCTCATTTCCCCCTATCTAACCAAGCCGAGATTATTCCCTCATTTGAGTGTTTTGTTAAATTACTCCCAGATGTTAGTGGTTCATTGGCTTTCTATGCGTCTTGTCAATGAAGTAAGGATACGATTCATGGATGAAGAACTTCTTTATTGCAATTAGGAGCGACGTTTCGGTGTAGGTTCTAACACCGTTATCAAGCAAGTGACGAAACGTTTCTCCGAATTGTAATAAAAAACTTATTCACCCATAACTCTAACCTTACTTAGTACTCCAACTTCTAAATGCCACTCAAAGAGTCTTGTTGATTGTCTTCTCAGAGTGTTGTTTTAGCCGTCTTTTGTAATTGCTGTTATACAGATGCTTAGCTAAGGAGTTTGTATATGTGTTCATGGTTTATCAATAAGTGATCATTGTCAGTGTCAATTGGGGTCTTGATCCTCTGTTTCGATACCTTCAGCTAATAATAAAACTGTGAGTCATTACCACGTTTTATATTATTACTTTATTCTTAATTAATGAAACCCTGGTCTCAGGAGCACAGCTGCGTGACATTATGAAAATGTAGACCAAACGTCATAAGCATGCCAATGTCCATGTTGTATGTTTCTGAGAAATGATTTTCGAGAAATTAGCTTGATTACTAAATCAATGAAGGATCTGTCACCACCATAAAAAAAACAGTTGCTTGAGTGCATGCTACTTTACTTCACAGTCTGTCTGTAATATTACATTGATATCACAGCAGCATGTTGATAGTGAATGAGTGAGTTTAGTTGGGTTTAACACCGCGTTTAACATTATTCCAGTTTTATCGCGGTGTGTCAGCTTAATGTGGGAGGAAAGCCTGAAGTGATGCAGGCGTTTACCACTTCGGTGAAACCCACGAGCACGGGTATGGTGCTGACAAACCTAGAAACATAATCGGGGCGAACCGGGATTCGAACCCACAATCATAGGTTTCTGGCGTGCCCAAGGGACGCAACTCTGCACAGCGAATCGCGGCGCCTTAGACGACTGGGCCACCCGTGCCCCCCAGTATGTTAATAAGTCAGGACCAAAGAGAGGAATGGTTAATGGCATTAGCAATAGTCTGTCAAGGGGTTCAATGGCACATATTTTGCCGGGCCAACAACTTTTGGTGGTTCTTGTGACAAATAAAAAAACATTTCCATTAAGGCAGATGACATTATACGACTCCAGCTATATCATAAGGATGTTATTATGAATCACTATCAAATGGTGATGATTTGTAGTCAGGTGCTTTTGAAACAAGACATTATGTGAAACCTTTTTCTATCCAGCAACCCACCACGATGACCACAATTACATGCTTACCCTCAACACAAAACGTCAACGCCATAGAATAACCAGCCTCCATTATCCCACGAAACAGATTCCATTGGGCGTAAAAGACAAAATAACAGTGCCGTTATTTGAATGGATAATATCGTGAAGATGTGGGGTAGAATAGGTCGTAAAAGGCGACTATGCTTGTCGTAAGAGGCGACTAACGGGATCGGGTGGTCTGGCTCGCTGACTTGATTGGTGCATGTCATCGATCCCAGTTGCGTGGATCGATGTTCATGATGACAATCACTGGATTGTCTTGTCCAGATTCGATTATTTACAGACCGCCGTCATATAGCTGCGATAAAATACACGAGCACGAGAATATGATTTTTGGGCCACCCATGCCAGTGATAGGCTGGGAGTATCGGGGTAATGTTGCATACAAAATATTCCTTTTGTCAGCTGGTAATATGATTGTTCGATGTCAATAAATTGTGTTATTATTTCCCTCTTCAGTTGCCCACATTCTGCCACGTGCTCACCCACATGATTCCATATAACATGCATGATTTGAAAATAATCGTGGTAATGCATCTTCCAAATCTTGGCTGAAATGGTAAAGCTCTTTCTTAGTCCAATTATCTAACCGTGATAACAAAGACATTTTATAGGATAAACCTCATCAGTCTTTAAAGTCGAGGGGCGGTCGGGTAGCCTAGTGGTTAAAGCGTTCGCTCGTCACGCCGAAGACCCGGGTTCGATTCCCAACATGGGTACGATGTGTTAAGCCCATGTCTGGTGTCCCCCGCCCTGATATTGTTGGAATATTGCTAAAAGCGGCGTAAAACCATACTCACTCACTCACTTTAAAGTCGACTTACGACTCGATGTGTGTTACAAGTTTGAGTCCATCTTGGTGCATCTTGCTCGTTGTGTTAGTCGTCAGTGTGAATTCAAACTGGTGAACGTCCGTCCACACACATCCCTCTAGTGCCAGTGTATTATTTTAGGAATTGGACTTCTGGTTATAGCTCGTGCATTCCAGGTTAGAACCCATCCCCAGCAAGACATGTTTCTTGCAATCCCATTACAATAAGATCTTAGTTCTCGCTACAGCTAAACAAAGATCTGAGGACATCCAATTACGGGTCACGTCAGACCGACCTTTCGCGTACTTTGACCGACCAATGGAATGACTGACAAGAAGTCGACAAGGGCCAATCAGAAGGCAGCTGAATCTTTATGGCACGAGTTTCAAACTGGCGACTACGCTTCGAAACATATTTTGACATACACTCGATTAAAAAAAAGCCCATAACTGTGGTGCGGATTGTGTTGTTTTTTCGAGGGTTACACGATCAAAAATCACATTCCAACCGTAACTTTTATGATCTGATAAGCGATGCTCTGATTGGTCAAATGAAAGGTCGTTCTGACATGACCCGCAATGGAATGTCCTCAGATCTGTGTTAAGCGGTAGCGAGAACTAAGATCTGATTTTAATGAGGTTGTGTTTCGTAAAGTGGCGATTAATTTAGTCGACTTTGTGATTTGGGTGATTGCGTGTCATCATACCCCGACGACGTGAGACATTTCTCATACTATTCATCACTGGTTTTATTTGGAACCGAGTTCTGTCCAGGGTGTCGTCGTAAAGCTGGAATATTATTACAGAGAGCTGCGTTTAACAAAAATAATGTTAAATTTGAACGTGGACCGCTGAAGGTGCTGACCCATTGATGACCAACAGGGCAATCATCAAGTGCATAACTTGATGTCAGCTTGTTGTCTGGATCCACGGGGTCCTAATCATTATTTACATTCACTCTCTATTTCACATCGTTGATGTTATGAAGTTGTTAACATTATAAGAGCTACGAAAGTCTCTCATTAGGAGTCTGTATAGGTAAGATTTCAAACACAGCATAAATAGAAACGTTTATTAATAAAATATGTGCAAATGATTTAAAAAAACATACACAAATCATGCCTTCTGTTACATGTCGTTTAAACGTGTACATTGTAACATTGCTTTAATGCACTAGATCTCGATATATCAAATGCTTGTTCATAAACTGAGGGGCAAAAGAAACTATATCGACTTTGTTTTTTCTGCAATTCAAAATTGAAAGAACTGTTGTTAAATATGATTATGTCTATTACCATCACTCATATCTGTAAAAATGTAATCTTCTGTTGGGTAATTGTGTGTACAAATAAATAAGATCAAGCGATATCTACACTGTAGATATCGCTTCAATGAAATTGCATCACATTGCTTTGCAGACCATTGTGACGTCATTGGTTACCATGACGTCATAATCAAATGACATCACCAATGGCTCTGCTACTGAAACTGTTAGCAATACGTTTTACACTTAAGACACTGCTTATTACAGTCTACAAACTGAAAAGGCTGGAAGAATGATGTTGGATGATAAATAAAATCTCACCCTAATGTCGTTTGACAAGCCTCGGAGTTTTGCCACTTTTAAATTTATCAACTCGTGTTGATATATTTGATATCAAAAGACACTCGGGTGAGATTCTCTATGTTTCAATGAAGACTGGGGTAGGAAATCAAGCTGCAACCACATGACCCCTACCCCTAATTTAGATGAGATGTATGAGATACCCATTAGCAGCTGTGTAAAGCTGTCTGTCTTTCATTCTTTCTTTAACAAAGTAACACCATATAGAAGTATTTTTTTAGTACTGCTCATTTTTTATATAATATCGCTAACTTAAGATGTTTTCATTTGAAAATCAAACATATAAAACAACTGAGAGGTATAGTTTCTGTTGCCCAGTTTGTTTGAATCATTGTGATATATCACAACATGCGATATAAGCAACACAGAATAGCTGAGAATTATACATTTGAGCAAATAAACATTTCTAATAAATCGTGTAATCAATTCAAGTTTATGTTTGAATTAACCCTCAGTTTAGAAATATAGAAACTTGACATATAGAATAACTCATTCCAAGTTAAGCTATCATCCACAGAACTCTCAACAATAATCATGTTTAACAAACATATTTTGATACAAACAATGAAAAGTAGAAGCGACAAATTTTGTAAGTTTAAAAACATTCAAGTTCACAATTGCCTGATGATTTATACGAATAAACATACGCATCTCCAACAGTAATGGTTGATTATTTGGTTGGAATATCGTGTCCATGGTATTTATCTTAGCCAAGTAAGATATATGACTCAAGGCCAATAGGCATACTGTGTTCAAAAATTGTTCTAAATAGGAATGATTTCTAATGATTATGAAAGTGGGGTTGAAGCTTTTATTTATTTAGACATATTTAATCTGTCCTGAAGTGATTCTGCAGTATTGACACTTTGAGAAAAAATCAATTATTTCAAACAATTATTTTACAAAATCCTTTTGATTTATATTCATTCAAGATTAGTTTTCAAGGAGAGGGGTTTGAGGTGTAATGTTTGTGAATATGTAAGAGATAAAAAACATGCAGCCGATTTATCAAAGCTTAAAGCAACATGCAAAGTGCCGACAATGATGCGCACGTACAATGTCTCTGTGACAAGGCATTGCTACAGTTTGCCAATGAGATGTGGTCTGAAATATACTTCCGGTGCGGATGGCATAGCAACATATTAGAGTGAGTGAGTGAGTTGGGTTTAACGCCGCTTTTAACAGTAATCCAGTTATATCGCGGCGTGTCAGCTTAATGTGGTAGGAAAGCCCGAAGTGATGCAGGTCTCAGACGTTTACCACTTTGGTGAAACCCACGAGCACGGGTATGGTGCTGACAAACCTAGAAACATAATCGGGGCCAAGCGGGATTCGAACCCACAATCATAGGTTTCTGGCGTACCCAAGGGACGCAACTCTGCACAGCGGATCGCGGCGCCTTATACGACTGGGCCACCCGTGCCCCCGCAACATATTAGAATAAATATGTCAGAACACTTACACCAAGGCCTACCTGGTGCATTGAGTTTAACGTTTAACGCCGCTTTTAACATTATTCCAGTTATATCACGGCGTGTCCTGGTGCATTGCGTCAATCATTTGTCAAACGTCCGGCGCAACGTGGAATGTGTATTGTGAATGTAATGGTAGGATTTCCTGTCATATGAATCATATTAAAATACCCTGTACAGCAGTCATGATATTTTTTCCCCAAAACGTGTTCCATAGGTTGAATCATATTTGTTCTATGTATTTCACTACCATAATATAATGAAATCAAAGTCATATTTTGTTCTGACAAATCCTCTTTAACTTTCAGTTCTTTGGGCCTTTTGGTGTCAGAGCATAATATTTTCACGATTACATTTGTTAACAATTAATAAAACTGAATGTCTGTCGTGTTATGTTACACCAATCATATACAGTAAACTACGGTTATAACGAACACGCTTATAACGAACTAACGGATATAACGAACTAACTTTTTAGTCCCGACCATATGCTGTAGTTATGCTGTATATATGCTTATAACGAATTACGGTTATAACGAACTAAAATTAGTAGTCCCTTTGAGTTCGTTATAACCGTAGTTTACTGTATTTACTAATTTGTCAAAAAGCAAAATTAAATTCTGACTATAATTTCATAAGCCATATTATAAGCCATGGTGCTAGATATTCTCCTTAACATTTAATTAGGCTTCATTGAAGAGTGAGTGTGAGTGAGTTAGGTTTAACGCCGCTTTAAACAGTATTACAGTTATATCACGGCGCGTCAGCTTAATGTGGGAGGAAAGCCCGATAGGATGCAGGCCTCAGACGTTTACCACTTTGGTGAAACCCACGAGCACGGGTATGGTGCTGACAAACCTAGAAACATAATCGAGGTGAACCGGGATTCAAACCCACAATCATAGGTTTCTGGCGTGCCCAAGGGACGCAACTCTGCACAGCGAATCGCGGCGCCTTAGACGACTGGGCCACGTATTCCCCACTTCATTGAAGAAGCAACACCGAGCAATATGGGCCCATATGGGCATTGGTTGTTTCTAATTAGCTAATTCAAAAATATATTCAACAAATTGTATCACGTCATATCTCTCTTATGATAAATATGTATTATGCATCATTTCTGCCATTTTCTGTCCACCTGAGTCGAGTACGATAATGGTTAATACAGTGTGTGTTTATCTCAATAGTTTCTTTTATTGTAAATCCCACGATTATATTGTTTCTCACTGATGGCTTAGAATTCTTTGAAAAACAAACCTGCAAAAGAAACAATGAACATATAAGACTAAACATCACATACATGTTCGATAAATTAGTTAATTATTCTATGCTTCGATTTTATACTACGTATTACTTATTAAATGACAAATGAGACAAATAGCCCGAGGCGCCGAGGCTGTTATACAGTCAACGCCTATAAGGGGGACAATAATTGAGTGAATGAGTGAGTGAGGTTTTACGCCGCTTTTAGCAATATTCCAGCAATATTCCAGCAATATCACGGCTGGGGACACCAGAAATTGGCTTCACACATTGTACCCATGTCGGGATTCGAACCCGGGTCTTCGGCGTGACGAGCGAACGCTTTAACCACGAGGCTACCCGACCGCCGACAATAATTGAAACTGAGACACTTTTTAATGATCTTGGAAATCCTAATGTAATTTTTGTTCCATTGAAGTGCGAAATGCGATGTTCACTTTTCTAAATAAATAATATTGAATTGAATGGTATATTCTTACCCGCTATACATGCTGTGAAAAAACATGCCATATTCCCTGCTATCATGGCCCGCAGTACTATGGAAGAAAGATCCTTCTTCCGAGACGGAGCCAGCGCCGATAGCCCACCCAGGAGGATGCCCATGGATCCAACGTTTGAAAACCCGCATAATGCATACGTTGATATCACCTCTGAGCGTTCCTGGAAGTCAAGACACACAGCGAAGCCTTAGACAAAATGCATGTACCAGAGGCACAGAAAAAAACACACATTTAAGGCATGGATGGGTTGAGCAGAACTATTTGAGTAGCACGATCTTGCAGACATTTTCTGCTTTGGTAAATATAGGGACATCAGACATGATCATGAACAATTAAAGATTTCATTTTATATGGCATTAGATTGAAATATACGCAGGACTGATCATGACCCACATGTGCAACGTTTGTTTTTTGTTTGTTGATTAACGCCGCACTCAGCGATATTCCAGTTATATGACGGCGATCTGTAAATAATCAAGTCTGGACCAGACAATCCAGTAACTGACATCATGAGCATCGATCCACGCAATTGGGATCGATGACATGCATCAAGTCAGCGAACCTGACCACCCTATCCCGTTAGTCGCCTCTTGCGACAAGTATAGTCGCCTTTTACGGCAAGCAGGGGTTGCTGAAGACCTATTCTACCCCGGATCTTCACGTGTCATTTGTGCAACGTCTAACATGTAACTAGCTTACGTGAATATCGTCATAATTAATTTAGCGACCATTACCTCCATGAATCCTCTCTTAAGCGTCATATTCCATTGAGTAAGAACAGCAGCTTGGCCATCCCAGTGCCAGTCATCCTGATAGCCGTAGTTCTGTGTGTAGTTAAGGAACGTCTGTCTGTTTTGCAGCAGTTCCTGAAGAGATTTGTAGGCTATGAACTCGTTCGTGAAGGTCTTCACGCCAATCAGCTCAGCCACGCGACGACAGTCAGATGGCTGTGTACCCATGAACAAGGCCACTGGGTACAGCAGATAGGAGCAAATTAACTGAAAGAAGAAGACAATGTCATGAATGTAGCAATGAATCAGGGTTAGATTTGGTCATGCTTGCCATAAAATGCGACTATGCTTGTCGTAAGAGGCAAGCATGGGACCTATTCTACTCCGGAATCTTCACGGATAAGGAGTATGAACATAAAACAAACAAAGAACCATCCACTCATATGTTAATAAACGATAATATCCTACCTCAAAGGTCAAGCCTTCTATTCCTACCCGGTCCCCAAACCAGGTAAGTGTGGCATTGACGAAGGCGAGGAGAGCGAGAAAAGCCATGACGTTGACAACGATGTTGGCGATAAGGCCGATGGACGTTGATGCACCCTCAGAAGCGGCCTCAATCAGGTTGCGTTGTTGCCTGTGAAGCATGAATTAATGGCAGTGAAGACCACGAGTCATGATCATTGACTAAAAGGATTGATATAGATTTTGAACCGGTGAGATATCTGAAATAAATGTTACCTTTTCATATGGAATGAAACGTTTGAGTAAATTAGAAACTGAACGGTTTTTATATCAATGAACAATATTCAAAAGTCTTTGATGAGATTTCGGGTATTTAGTATGAGTATTTGGAATATTTTACCTTTGTGTTATGGTGAACTATATAAAAGTGTACACATATGTTCAATACAAGGTTATAGTTCATATCGATGGTTAATATAATAGGTGAAATGGGGTTTAACGTCGCGTCCAGGATTATTGCACTTATATAGCGACGTGCATGTACGTGTGTGTGTTTGTGTGGCTGCTTGTACTAGTCCGGACTGATGCCGATTTATAGTGCTAGCTCACTGAGATACCATGCCGCAGTTTAACATGAATACCCCACTCAGACACAATATACTGACTCCGAGCCGACCAGTCCTTGTTTTTGCCCCTTAATGCCGAGCGCCAGACAAGGTAACAACAAGTATCATCTTTTAACGTCTTTTGGTATGACGCGTTCGGGGATCGAACCCCGGACCTTCCGCTCTCCGGGCGGACGCTCTACCACTAGACCACGGAGGCGGTCCGTTAATGTAATATGTATGATTAATAATATATGTGTTATACCAACACACGGAGGCAAACTCTTTCGTGTACTTTTACTAACAACTCATAGTTAACTATAGACTGTAAATGTTTTGCCAAGATGCGGACAGTCCTCAGATGACACCATCAACGTGAAAGCAAGAACTCTTTAGTCATACGAACAAGGTGTCATGATCAGAAGTGTCGTATTGACCCGTGAAGATCCGGGGTAGAATAGGTCTTCAGCAACCCATGCTTGCCGTAAAAGGCAACTATGCTTGTCGTAAAAGGCGACTAACGGGATCGGGTGGTCAGGCTCGCTGACTTCGTTGATGCATGTCATCGATCCCAATTGCGTGGATCGATGTTCATGATGTCAATCACTAGATTGTCTGGTCCAGACTCGATTATTTACAGACCGCCGTCATATAGCTGGAATACTGCTGAGTGCGGCGTTAAACAACAAACCAACAACAAGTGTCGTATTGCAAGCCATTTTCATATTTATTATACTTACCATTTTCGTGATAATATTATTTATTAAATGATATCAGTTATGTTTTATTGGTTTCATAAATTATTGACTGATATCATCAAAATACTTCATGATATATGTTAATAGTTGATAGCATCGTGAAATAAAGTAATCAATAGAAAAAATTAATGATATCTTGAAATTCATTATGACAGTTATTCTTTTGATACCATGCTTACAATTAATGATATCGCTTGTCCAGTTACTGATATTATTAAGTCATTTCATGATATGTTTAATCTTTTCCATCATATCAATGATTATCATGTTTTAGTTATCCTAGCACCTAGAATAACAGATATCAATGATACATTTCATATTTAAGTAAGAATTACTGTTACCATTAAAAGAAATAATGATTCAAGTAAATCAATGGCAGTCATATCTAACACTGCGCGACAAACTTACCCTTTTTTCATTTTATTATAGTCTTCCGACGACGAAATAGTGACTTCGGTCTCTGGACACATCAGTTTAGAGATGGCGAGGGCCGCTGGGGCGGACATTACTGACGCTGACAGTAAATGATTGGGAGGAACCTGAAGACAGAATTAAATCTGAAGTAAGAGTTTGTGAGGATTATTTGCCATGTGTAACAACTGCATTGAACGTACTGTATCCATTAAATAAGGCTACAGACAATTCCACGAAGCATAAGAAATCGTTGCTAAAGGCACTGTCCTTACATGTAGTAGGATTCCGGACCACATCATGAGCATGTGTTTAGGAATCACTATCAAAACGGTCATGGTACCAAGTGTTCGCGAAAAGGTGAGGTACCCTGCCCCACCGGTGTCACCCGTCACGAACACATGCAAAGGCAAATCAACTGTTTACTTGAAACAGAAACGGTGAAACATTGTGAAGTCAAAACAGGGACTTGCATCTGACATTTTCGTCACTCCAGGTGTCTACCATCAAACGTTTTGAAACTTTTTTTATGCCTTGAATGTTGTACCCTGCATCATGCAACCTCAAGCAAGATTCACATGGAGGTCTTTTAAACATTCGTAGAAAGAGCATGATCGATTGTACCTCAAAGGTTGTGACTTGTAAACACCAAAGGTTGGAGTGAGTGAGGTTTTACGCCGCTTTTAGCAATATTCCAGCAATATCACGACGGGGGACACCAGAAATGGGCTTCACACATTGTACCCATGTCGGGAATCGAACCCGGGTCTTCGTTGTGACGCCAAAGGTTGGAGCTGCAGGAGTATGCTCGACATAAAATGAGAGTTGATTTCTGGAAAGTTTAATTATATAAGTCATCATTCTTGACATACAGTGCGGTTGGGAATTCATTTTGATATAAATGGATCTAAATCTAAATCTATATAAGAAGATGGGGTGATTTCACTGGTTTTTAAAAATATTTTTACACTAAATATAACCACTCTGTAAGGGCCGACCCGTGAAGATTCCGGGGTAGAATAGGTCTTCAGCAACCCATGCTTGCCGTAAAAGGCCACTACGTTTGTCCTAAAAGGCGACTAACGGGATCGGGTTGTCAGGCTCGCTGACTTGGTTGATGCATGTCATTGATCCCAATTGCGTGGATCGATGCTCATGATATCAATCACTGGATTGTCTGGTCCAGACTCGATTATTTACAGACCGCCGTCATATAGCTGGAATATTGCTGAGTGCGGCGTTAAACAACAAACCAACCACCCAACCAACTGTAAGGGCCACACAAGCATCCGCAACGAAACATCTCTCGTGTCGTGGACTTCTGACTCGTCTTTAGCTACAAACTGCGGTATTTAGCCTTCTTCGGGGTGATTCCGTTGGCAACGAGGTTGTGCCAGTACGCTCTTTTCCATTGTTAAATCATCACGTTAATGGTGAATATGATTACAGATCCGGGTTGTCCTCTGGTTAATGCAATTTGTAAACAGAGATAGCCATTCTGAACGTGTACTACTGTTACTGCAGAGTTATTTCAAACCAACTGGTACAACTTTAAAATGTTTTTAAATAACACTGTGACTGAAAAGTTATTTGAAAGTTTTTGGTCATTTTTCTTTAAACTGTCGCCCCTACAATGGTTGATTTCCAAGAAATGACTTCATTGATGTAATTAAATATATAACTATGGATGGTTATTTGATCAATTATATTTTTTAAAACCTGTTTGATTGTAACGATTATTTTGAACTTTTGTTTGTTTGTTTGTTTGTTGTTGATGCTGCACTCAGCAATATTCCAGCCATGTGACGGCGGTTTGTAAATAATCGAGTCTGAACCAAGCAATGACACCAGTAATTGATATTATGAGCATCGATCCACGCAACTTGGATACGATGACATACATCGACCACGTCAGTGAGCCTGACCACCCGATCCCGTTTGTCGTATTTCAAGAATATAGGTAATTAATCTTGAACTTAATATCTTTTACTGTAACCCTTAAAAAAATCCACACTCAGACAACCTCAAATTTCAAAACACAGGAAGTTTATATCCCAGATGAGTACATGGAACCAAGTTTAAAATATGTCTCTATATTTTCATTTTTGCGACCAAAGTTGTTGCTTCAAATAAGGGTTGTAATGATATATTACTCTGGAGATTACATAATTTCTTACCCCAAACCCAATGTAGGCTCCAAGCACACTTCCTGCAATTGTAGCGAATCCTCCAGTCATCACTGCATGGAGCTCAGAAATTGTCATCGTATCCAAGAATGGCTTTATCATAAGAGGAGCTTCAGTCTGAAAACCGACAATACTGGGGTTGTTCATAATGGCAAGTTCAGGTATTCCAGATCTAGGTGGCTGCATGATTCTGTGGCAAATTGTAGAAAACATATATAGAACAAGTTAAACTTGGTTTTAAAAAACCAGGATACATTAAACAGCCTGGTCTTATTGGTGGAACCTTGGCGGACAATCTGCCCTGCAAGCCAACCTAGCATGAACATGAAAGCGGCACACCCTTTCCATAATCATAAGTCCACTCAGACTATGACTATGTGCTTAAGAATCACTATCAAATAGTGATGATACCAGGTGTTCGCGAAAAGGTGGAGCGTATCCTGCCACACCGGTGGCATCCGTCCTTACCACATGCAAAGGCAAATCAGTTGCTTACCTGAAGAAACGCGAAAGCATTAGATACAAGTCAAAACCCGTGAAGATTCCGGGGTAGAATAGGTCTTCAGCAACCCACGCTTGCCGTAAAAGGTGACTATGCTTGTCGTAAAAGGCGACTATGCTTGTCGTAAAAGGCAAATAACGGGATCGGGTGGTCAGGCTCGCTGACTTGGTTGATGCATCTCATCGATCCCAATTGCGTGGATCGATGCTCATGATTTCAGTCACTGGATTGTCTGGTCCAGACTCGATTATTGACAGACCGCCGTCATATAGCTGGAATATTGCTGAGTGCGGCGTTAAACAACAAACCAACCAAACCAAGATACAAGTCAAAATAAGGAACAACATCGGGTATCATTTTAGTCAATGATGCATGTGTCTCCCACAAGTCCACAGTAAAAGTCCACAGTAAAAGTGTTCACGAAAAGGTTATCAAACACGTCCTGCCCTACAGGTAGCACCCGCCACTCACGCAATTTGCATTAAAGAGTAAGTTTTTGTTTGTTGCCTGACGTGGCACAGGGGTATTTCTAAATATAATTGAGTGAGTGAGTTTGGTTTTACGCCGCTTTTAGCAATATCCCAGCAATATCACGGCGGGGGACACCAGAAATGGGCTTCACACATTGTACCCATGTCGGGAATCGAACCCGGGTCTTCGGCGTGACGAGCGAACGCTTTCACCACTAGGCTACCCGACCGCCTCTTCTAAATATAAAACGTCTACGCAAACACACTTTTAAATATATGTATGATGACTGTCCTAATACAGAGAAGAAATGTAGGGGAATTAAGTACCATTCCGACAAAAATGTTGCCCGCAGCATTCAGCGATTCCGCTGGTGTTGTTCCCAGACAGAAGGACAGGAAGCGCCCAAAGACTTTAACAATCGCTTGCATGATACCCAGGTAATAGGTGATGGAGATGAAGGCGCTGAAGAAAGTGACCACAGGCATAATCTGAAAACAGATGGTTCATGTGTTAGATGGCTTGTGGAGGAGATACACGTAGGAGAGTAAGTGAGTTGGGTTTAACGCAACTTTTAACAGTATTTCAATAATATCACGGCGTGTCAGCTTAATGTGGGAGGAAAGCTCGAAGAGATGCAGGTCTTAGACGTTAACCACTTCGTTTAAAAACCCACGAGCACGGGTATGGTGCTGACAAACCTAGAAACATAATCGGGGCGAACCGGATTCGAACCCACAATCATAGGTTTCTGGCGTACCCAAGGGACGCAACTCTGCACAGCGAATCGCGGCGCCTTAGACGACTGGGCCACCCGTACCTCACACGTAAGAGAGAGAATTTATGGATGTAAACGTCTTGATTATGATGAACACAACGTTTCGGAGTATATCGTTACTCCTTCATCAGGTGAATGAAATTTAAACAACATGAGCGTATTATGAATCAGTGCGCATGTTGGTCCGTATATGTGTGATGTTGAATTAAGACAGAGTACCTATCTATTACCATAAGACCATCTCCGTGGTATAGTGGTAGAGCGTCCGCCCGCAGAGCGGAAGGTCCGGAGTTCGATCCCCGGCCGCGTCATACCAAAAGACGTTTAAAGATGGTACTTGTTGTTACCCTGTCTGGCGCTCGGCATTAAGGGGCTAAAGGAAGAACTGGTCGGCTCGGAGTCAGTATACTGTGTCTGAGTGGGGTATTCATGTTAAACTGCGGCATGGTATCTCAGTGTGCTAGGACTAGAAATAGGTATTAGTCCGGACTAGTACAAGCAGCCACACACACACACACACACACACACACACACACACACACACACACGTGCATGCACGTCGCTATATAAGTGCAATAATCTTGGACGCGACGTTAAACCCAATTTCACCTCACCTATTCCCATAAAATTGTCTCCCTTCTGGATTTGAAATCGGATGTATGCACAATACAGACAGTTGATGATAAATGAAATAGCTGAAGATGTTCCTATATGAAGATGATATTATTTTTTAATTTTTGAGGATGCATTGTTTGATAGGTATTACTTAGAAGTTGGTGGATGACAAAGTAGACACAATTTATGGATAACAACTTTTTACAAAAAAAACATACTTACAGAAAAGGCAAAGAAATGAAGCCCAGGTTTGTCAAAGACGAACTCAGATCCAGCATTAGTGTGGGCCAGAAACTCTGTCACTCGATCACCAAGCCACTTGAACGCATCGTATCCCCACTGTGTCCGCAGGATGATGGCAGCAAAGAAGAACTGCAGAGCCAGTCCCCAGAAAACGGGGTGCCAGTCGACCTGAATTCCAAATATTGAAGACATGCTGATCATGGAAGGTGAGGTGAGGTGAAATTGGGTTTAACGTCGCGTCCAAGATTATTGCACTTATATAGCGACGTGCATGCACGTGTATGTGTGTGTGTGGCTGCTTGTACTAGTCCGGACTGATGCCGATGTATAGTGCTAGCTCACTGAGATACCATGCCGCAGTTTAACATGAATACCCCACTCAGACACAGTATACTGACTCCGAGCCGACCAGTCATTGTTTTAGCCCCTTAATGCCGAGCGCCAGACAGGGTAACAACAAGTACAATCTTTTAACGTCTTTTTGTATGACGCGGCCCGGGATCGAACCCTGGACCTTCCGCTCTCCGGGCAGACGCTCTACCACTAGACCACGGAGGCGGTCCGATCATGAAAGAATAACATTGGAGGATGCGGTCATTTATGTCTAAATTGGTTGGTCTCTTTGGGATGTCAGCTGGAGCTCAGAATCGAGCGTGAAGCCTCACAAAAACGGTGGTTGATATCGAGAACATCCATGCACATTATAATGCTGACAAGGGTGAAAGTTGATATTTGCTCATCCTTCCAAGAACAACCAATACACAAAAGTGGTTTAAACAAGTCATCGATAGGGTGCACAGAGTTACTTCTGACTGGGTATTCTCACGAAAGGGGTCATGGGATTTGTTTATAGATGGCATTACTTCCATAGTGGATGAGGTGCGCTACCTACCCTTCCAGGGTTAGTGGAGGTGATGAAGCACAAGATGATGAAGGCAGCGAGACCTGCGAGGGATATCAGGTTGTCAGGTGTGGGGATGGCCACCTCAATCACCAGGATCACGATGATGGCAATCACGCACAACACGTACATCACACTGAAACATGGTAAATAGAAATGATAATCACCGGCCCCGAATCTTTTCCTATAGCACGACTGTAAATGAGGTGTGGGAGTGTTCCCAGTGCTGCAGTGGCACCGATCAGTAGCTATGGCTATAATTTGGGTGAAGTGAACAGATTCATTTTCATTAAAGTGTTGGTCGTGCACAGTAAATACAAATTTGTGAAACAGAATATCATTAAGGTAGTAGCTCCTTCACGAAGGCAATCGATTCCGATTAAAAGACATATACCCCCCTGTTCCCAAACACCCATACCTATTGCTTTTTAACATTTCTGTTTCGGTAACTAAGATGACTCACTATCGAACAACTCTCATTCTTTTGGCATTGTCTGTGTTAGTGAACGTCTTTCCACATGCTTCAAAAGGGGCCTTGATGGAGTCCCACACCAGCTTCATCACGATGAGAAAAACAACAAATATGGTCAATACTAAAAGTCTGATGGAAGCCTCATCGCCAAATTTGTAGTACATGGCATAGCCAAAATATGCCATGTATAGCAGAAATACAACAATAGCAATGATTCTCCATATCCATGTAGCGTTTTCCTCGTAAACAGATATGACTTTTCTTTGCGCTGATGTGAGGCCTCTTTGACAACAATTCATATCGTCATCCATCTGGTTTTCGGGATCATATGGAAGGCTGTTCTTGCGATGCCTCAGTCCAGTCTCTTCTTGTGTCTGAATAATAAAATATTTATTTCATCACCTAATATCATCTACACTACTCAAATTTCTACACATGTTCTTTATTTGCCTTTGCATAATATAAAGTGTCGTGTAGTTAGACTTCGTACGTGAGGACACGTTTGTTGGTAGGCGAGATGGGTTTGCGTCGCTGTCATCAATATTTCAGACCCATGAATATCCGGGGCAGACTAGGTCTTCAGCAACCCATGCTTGCTGTAAAAGGCGACCATGCTTGTCGTAAGAAGCGACTAACGGGATCGGGTGGTCAGGCTCGCTGACTTGGTTGATGCATGTCATCGATCCCCATTGCGTGGATCGATGCTCATGATGTTAATCACTGGATTGTCTGGTCTAGACTCGATTATTTGCAGACCGCCGTCATATGGCTGGTATATTGCTGAGTGCGGCGTAAAACAACAAACCAACCAACCATCAATATTACAACAATTTATTTGCGGGTGAGGCAAGAAATTTGCTTCACATATTGTACCAATGATGGGATTCCAACCTGTAACTTCAACCATTCGGCTACCCCTCCGTCCCTCACAAGTGGAAACAATATAAGCACACACATAGATAAAGTGCGTACATTGTGTGCATCTGTTAGACGGAATGTGTACGTGAATACATATATAACGAGCTTCCCATTTCGAATCAAACAGGTGAATTTTGATATTAAATTCATATAAAGTACACAAAACTCGAAATATCATAACAAGCTTCTAATAGACAAGGGCGGTCGGGTAGCCTAGTATTTAAAGCGTTCGCTCGTCATGCTGAAGACCCGGGTTCGAATCCCGACATGGATACAATGCGTGAAGCCCATTTCTGGTGTCCCCCGCCGTGATATTGCTGGAATATTGCTCGGGTAGAATATGTAGATATAGACTTGTAAATGTAGGTAGAAGGTGAACATTGGGTAGTATATGTAGATATAAACTTGTAAATGTAGGTAGGTGTACTTTGGGTAGTATATCTAGATATAGACTTGTAAATGTAGGTAGAAGGTGTACATTGGGTAGTATATATATGTAGATATAGACTTGTAAATGTAGGTAGGTGTACATTGGGTAGTATATGTAGATATAGACTTGTAAATGTAGGTAGGTGAACATGGGGTAGTATATGTAGATATAGACTTGTAAATGTAGGTAGGTGTACATCGGGTAGTATATGTAGATATAGACTTGTAAATGTAGGTAGGTGTACATCGGGTAGTATATATATATGTAGATATAGACTTGTAAATGTAGGTAGGTGTACATCGGATAGTATATCTAGATACAAACTTGTAACTGTAGGTAGGTGTACATTGGGTAGTATATGTAGATATAGACTTGTAAATGTAGGTAGGTGTACTTCGGGTAGTATATGTAGATATAGACTTGTAAATGTAGGTAGGTGTACATTGGGTAGTATATGTAGATATAGACTTATAAATGTAGGTAGGTGTACATTGGGTAGTATATACATTGTATATGTAGATATATACTTGTAAATGTAGGTAGGTGTACATCGGGTAGTATATGTAGATATAGACTTGTAAATGTAGGTAGGTGTACATCGGGTAGTATATATATGTAGATATAGACTTGTAAATGTAGGTAGGTGTACATCGGGTAGTATATCTAGATATAGACTTGTAAATGTAGGTAGGTGTACATTGGGTAGTATATGTAGATATAGACTTGTAAATGTAGGTAGGTGTACATTGGGTAGTATATGTAGATATAGACTTGTAAATGTAGGTAGGTGTACATTGGGTAGTATATGTAGATATAGACTTGTAAATGTAGGTAGGTGTACATCGGGTAGTATATGTAGATATTGACTTGTAAATGTAGGTAGGTGTACATGGGGTAGTATAATTATGTAGATATAGACTTGTAAATGTAGGTATGTGTACATTGGGTAGTATATGTAGATATAGACTTGTAAATGTAGGTAGAAGGTGTACATCGGGTAGTATATGTAGATATAGACTTATAAATGTAGGAAGGTGTACATCGGGTGGTATATGTAGATATAGACTTGTAAATGTAGGTAGGTGTACATTTGGTAGTATATGTAGATATTGACTTATAAATGTAGGTAGGTGTACATTGGGTAGTATATGTAGATATAGACTTGTAAATGTAGGTAGGTGTACATCGGGTAGTATATGTAGATATTGACTTGTAAATGTAGGTAGGTGTACATGGGGTAGTATATGCAGATATAGACTTGTAAATGTAGGTAGGTGTACATTGGGTAGTATATGTAGATATAGACTTGTAAATGTAGGTAGGTGTACATCGGGTAGTATATGTAGATATAGACTTGTAAATGTAGGTAGGTGTACATTGGGTAGTATATGTAGATATAGACTTGTAAATGTAGGTAGGTGTACATTGGGTAGTATATGTAGATATAGACTTGTAAATGTAGGTAGGTGTACATCGGATAGTATATCTAGATACAAGCTTGTAACTGTAGGTAGGTGTACATTGGGTAGTATATGTAGATATAGACTTGTAAATGTAGGTAGGTGTACATCGGGTAGTATATGTAGATATAGACTTGTAAATGTAGGTAGGTGTACATCGGATAGTATATCTAGATACAAACTTGTAACTGTAGGTAGGTGTACATTGGGTAGTATATGTAGATATAGACTTGTAAATGTAGGTAGGTGTACATCGGGTAGTATATGTAGATATAGACTTGTAAATGTAGGTAGGAGTACATCGGGTAGTATATGTAGATATAGACTTGTAAATGTAGGTAGGTGTACATCGGGTAGTATATGTAGATATTGACTTGTAAATGTAGGTAGGTGTACATGGGGTAGTATAATTATGTAGATATAGACTTGTAAATGTAGGTATGTGTACATTGGGTAGTATATGTAGATATAGACTTATAAATGTAGGAAGGTGTACATCGGGTAGTATATGTACATGCAGATATCGACTGTGAAAATGCAACCATGCACATTTAGGCGTGAGTGAGTGAGTGAGTGAGTGAGTGAGTGAGTGGAGTTTAACAACGTTTTGAGCAGCATTTTAGTAACATCACGACACCTTAGCTTGTTCCGGGATGATAGTCGGTCTAAGACGTTTATTAGCACGAGTATCCCGCTGACGAACGAACAATAATACTCAGGGTGAAACTGGAATTCCAACGCACGTTCAGGGGATTCTGTCACTCCGTAGGGCAACCACCCTGTACGGCGATTTGAAGTGCCTCAGAAGACTGGTGACAGAGAGACGACGCTGGTTGGACTTTCATGTTTGGAATTATTGCACATGCCATATACTTTCATTTGGATTCTCGCATGGTATCATGATATCAGTATATGGGAACCAAGACACATCTTGACCAACCACAGATACACAGGATAAGGATAATTGTATTCAGCTCTCTATTGAAATCATCTCATGTGTAGATACAATAGTGTAACTATACCACCACGTCGCCAGTTCTTGTGGACATCGATCTACGTCTTGTTTACATTCATGAGATCCAATGTGGGACAAGGTGAATTAATTAGGTTTGTATCGCGAGCCACTCATGGGTGTGGAGGTGTCCACGAAACAGCCGTGTCACCTTCTTACAAGATTGTTTTACTGGGAAAGTACAACCAGTGTCGACGTGTTCATGACACACAATACAAATGTTAAAAAACCCCGGATAATCTTATCCTATGTTGTAATATTTAAGGTGTAATCATTGTTTTGTTTGTTTGTTTGTTTGTTTGTTTGTTTGTTTGTTTGTTTGTTTGTTGTTCAACTCCGCACTCGGCAATGATCCAGCTATATGATGGCGGTCTGTAAACAATCGAGTCTGGACCAGACAATCCAGTGATTGACATCATGAGCACCCATTTGAGATATGAAGACATGCCTCTACCAAATCAGCGAGCCTGAGTCGCCTCCTAAGACATCCACCATCGGATGATGAAGGCCAATTCTCACCAAGTTTCAGAGGTTGTATTCATCCTGAATATAACTTTAGCACTGTAACATGTAAACTTTATTGATAACTGTGTTAACTTATTTATTCCCCAAATCGTAAAAAATAAAAATAAAACACAGGTTGTATGTGATATCATTAAATAATTAAAACGTGGTTTTATTGGAAAAAAATTGAAAGTATAAGTTCCGTTCTTATATGACATACTGGGATGTATTGTCATGCAAAGTGTGAATCTCACTCACTCACTCATCATCCGATCTAGCAGTAAGATACTGTGTTATCGGATCAGTAAACAATGCAATTTTTAAGACGCATTAAAATAATACTGCGGGAATATTTCCTGCCATATTTTTCATTTGTAGTACTCGGTTGGTTTAATTTCTAGAGAAGGATGGTCGTACCAAAGAAGCGAACGTAATGTGCTTGGTACGTTTAACATCATCACAAGCGTCTCTGGTTAACCACATTGTCAACAATGAGCATGTTTCATTGTCGTAAACGTTTCAGTTACTCATCTAAAATACGTTTTTTTAAACTGTGATTTCTACACTTTAATGCAGGGGCACAGGTGGCCAAGTCGTCTAAGGCGCCGCGATTCGCTGTGCAGAGTTGCGTCCCTTGGGCACGCCAGGAACCTATGATTGTGGGTTCGTATCCGGTTCGCCCCGATTATGTTTCTAGGTTTGTCAGCACCATACCCGTGCTCGTGGGTTTCACCGAAGTGGTAAACGTCTGAGACCTGCATCACTTCGGGCTTTCCTCCCACATTAAGCTGACACGCCGCGATGTCAATGGAATACTGTTAAAAGCGGCGTTAAACCCAACTCACTCACTCACTCACTACACTTCAATGCATAAGCAATTCGGTCAGGTGAAACAGACAGGAAAACGGGGGTATGGAATTTCAACGTGTTGTCCTAGCTTCACTGGGGGTTGGTTTCAAAAGGAGAAAGGAGCTTAACCGATTAACATTATTCTACCCTCTTAACCTGTTGGCGCATAGCATTGCAATGTCACCCATGCGATATACGAGAAGGAGATATTTCGCGTCAGCTGAGACAACAAATCCCTGGTCTTGTTCTTACAAGCATGTGTGTCAACGTCCTGGGCATTATAACTTTTTTGAATTTATAAGCCAAGCACTTGATTTTTCTGCTTTGGTATGCGATCGCTTTACGTAAGACGTGCCGCGTTAAACTCTTCATAAATACCTACACTATTGCATTGTAAGGTTTATAAAGGATGACAGTATTAAGCATTGTGTGATTTGAAGGGTACAGGTTTGACGCAGATATGCGATACAGCATTGCGGCGAATAAAGAGAGGAGATTAACATATGTTAGGCGAGCAGCATACAGGGTGTATTTCCCCTGCATTACCCTTTCGCATATTATCACATGTCTGATGTGAAATACTAACACTCCTTGAACTACAGAGAATGTATCATGATATCATGAATAGAAACCTTAACAGTTGGGCAGATTCTTCACTCTCCAAATGAGTGAGAGAGTGTTTGTTTGTTGTTTAACGCCACACTATTTCAGCTATTGGCGGTTTGTAAATAATCGAGTCTGGACCAGACAATCCAGTGATTGACGTCATGAGCATCGATTGGGATACGATGACATGCATCCACCAAGTCAGCGAGCCTGACCATCCGATCCCGTTAGTCGCCTGTTACGACAAGCATGGTTTGCTGAATATCTATTCTACCCCGAATATACACGAGTGAGAGTGAGTGAGTGAGTGAGTATGGTTTTACGCCGCTTTTAGCAATATTCCAGCAATAACACGGCGGGGGACACCAGAAATGGGCTTCACACATTGTGCCCTTGTCGGGAATCGAACCCGGGTCTTCGGCGTGACGAGCGAACGCTTTAACCACTAGGCTACCCGACCGCCCCCTACACGAGTGAGAGACTGAGTGAGTGACATGGGGTTCAACGTAAGGAGAACGGTGTTCCAGTTATATCACGGCACATCAGCTTAATGTGGTAGTAAAACCCGAAGTTATGCGGATCTCGGACGTCTACCACAATGGTGAAACTCGACTTTAGGTGTGGTGCTAAATAATCAAAAAGCACTATCAGGGCAAAGGGATAATCAGAGATTTCTGGCACGCCTATCGGATGCAACAATGCGAATTGCGGCGCCCTATGGACGACTGGTCATCCGTGTCCCCCTAACAAGCAACAACCTTCACCTAAAGGAACATCTTACGTTTTTTGAACGGTTGATATGTATTTGTTAAGTAATAATCTTACATTTGGAAGACTGTCAATACTTGAGTGAACATAAGCTGGGTTGTCTTGACCATTCCCTGTACTGTCCGCAACCAGAGGGTTGATCTGTTTCAGCTGAACTTCACCCATTCTTGAAAAATGAACTCTCCCTCACTGAGTCTGAAAAAAGATAAGGTTGGTATGAATGGGGTAGTTAAGTCAATAGAGCTCTCTTACATGACTCAACGGCGATTATATGTTCAGTAATAGATCGCAAACCCTTTCCAACTTTCTACTGCAAACACACACTTGTAATTTTGAGTCATTCCCTTTGAAAATTCATCTCATAATTAACACACTTCCGAAAATGGATTCAACATAAATCTTCCGGCTGACACAAAGGTTAATTGTTTTTTCGTCACCACACTCGGTTTATCCACTTGTTGTTTATTGTTTACTTTTGCGGATTGACTCATTCACAGTCCTTGGCTCTTTGTAATGTCAATCTGCTCATCCAGTTCCTATCTGGTCTCGCTCACATTCAGCGTCTCTCAGTCTCGCTTATATCACAACGTACAGCTGAGCATCATATGCCAGTACACCCGTCAGATCCAGCGACCCCATGTCGTCTGCTACGTTGAAGCTGCGAGGCGCCATTGCCGCAGAAGATCCCTTAAGTGTCATTTACCTGAGTACCCCCGATATCAAACAATTCATAGTACGTGCATCAGTTTTGTACAGAGTGATATAAACAGGTCATGCATCTGATTGAAGTCATCAACCACTGTCGAACTCTCCACACACTGGAGTTTTTACCATAGGCCCTACCCTGGATATATAAGGTGGGGTGAAATGGGGTTTAACGTAGCGTCCAAGATAATTGCACTTATATAGCGACGTGTGTGTGTGTGTGGCTGCTTGTACTGGTCCGGACTGATGCCGATTTATAGTGAGATGCCATGCCATCGCACACAGTATACTGAGTCCGAGCACACCAGTCCCAGTTTTACCCCCTTAGGCAGGGTAACAACAAGTACCATCTGTGTGGCGTCTTTTGGTATGACGCGGCCGGGAATCGCTCTAGACAACGGGGGCGGTCACTCTGGATATAAAGAACCAAAGAGGACATTCAAAACATGTTCTCTCTTCAAGCAATCCCCTTCCCGAGACTATAAATGTCAAGTTTCCACACTCGCCGAACAACGCTGGAATTTCCAGGCTCGATCGTAGCGCCACCTATTGCTATAACGAGTTATGTCCCTTATATGTCCCTCCTATAGACCAATCAGATTACACCTCTCATATCATTTGCTTCAAACAAAATGTCAGCTCCAAGTCAAGACGATCTGATCGATAATCAAGATCTACATTGTAATAAAACGGTTCTTACTCCGCGGACTGCATCAAATCACTCGAGCACCTTGATTAAAATCATGAAAAGATTTGCAAGATATCTGTCGACGCCCAGTTGGCGGTACGCATTCTTTGCAAATCCTGCAGTCGACCGAAATATGCACGTTGAAATCCATCTTGGTTTATGAACCGGATATCTAGTTCGTCATACGATTTTGATTTCACTATACATAGACTCGTTAGTGCAGCCAAAAGGAAACTCTGGAATTCCAGCCTAGTTCGGCAAGGTTGGGAACTTGACGCCCTTGCTTCGAGAAGATTACATCATCCATGTTAGTCGAGTGTCTAAAACATTTGTTTTGTAGACGTGCATAAACATGAAAGCATTCAGTAATCTGGACGTTGTTTCACCACAGTTTGCTCCGCCTTTAGGGTGCGATTTTAGTGGGTTCTTACAGATATAAAACGCCAACGTCTGCAAATAACCAGTCTCGATTATCCGCCGAAACAGATTCCATTAGGTTGGTTGGATGGTTTGTTGTTTAACGCCGCACTCAGCAATATTCCAGCTATATGACGGCGGTCCGTAAATAATCGAGTCTGGACCAGACAATCCAATGATTAATATCATGAGCATCGATCCACGCAATTGGGTGAGAGAGTGAGTATGGTTTTACGCCGCCTTTAGTAATGTTCAAGCAATATCTCACACATTGTACCCATGTCGGGAATCGAACCCGGGTCTTCGGCGTGACGAGCGAACGCTTTGACCGCCCCTCCACGCAATTGGGATCGATGACATGGATCAACCAAGTCAGCGAGCCTGACCACCCGATCCCGTTAGTCGCCTCATACGACAAGCATAGTCGCCTTTTACGGCAAGCATGGGTTGCTGAAGACCTATTCTTCCCCGGATATTCACGGGTCGATTCCATTGGATGAAAATAATATGAATGGATCAATAAAGTCGATGAAAACACCAGGTGTTCCACTCTCCTACCCAGAGTTCCATGCGGCCGGCAGCCAGCTAGCATAGTACCTCTGCCACAGGCCAGCGCCATGTGACGATTCGTCACATCTTTCACGGTCCATTCAAGATATTGCATATGCTTTTCATCCGTTTCATGTTTGACAAGTCTACACATTTTCATAAACAAATGTCAAAGAATGGTTAACTTTCATTGAGAAAGTATGCAAATACGTAAAAATCTACTTGTTTTTGCGTAGTTATCCTATGTTTACATTGGTTGTACGGCTCCACGTGCTGTCATCGAAGCCCAACGGAGAGCTAGCGACACGGTCACTTTGATGCATAAATATATATTGTCATGCAACTCACTGTCGCAGTTGTAGTAGCATATCTATATAGTTATGCAAAACAATATGTAAAGGGCCCCCAAATACTTGCATTAGTCCGATCTATACTGATTTCTGAAAAAGCGCGTTTGTTTACAAACAAGAGAAAAGTCCGGTCACGTGATATGCAAATGAGCCTGTGGCAGTGGTGTTATGCTGAGTCACCACTGCGACGGAGTGTGCATGTGTTCGCGATAAAGGTAGGCATGTCCTGCTACTGTCACAACTTGCAAAGACTGATCCTTAACTGTCCCGGATTTATCCTAATAATACAAACTACAATGCAACAAGAAACAACTGAACGAGTTGATCCTGTCTAAATGCCCCTTTACTTCACTTATCCAGATGCATCTATAAGAGGAGATAATAATGTATATATACATGATGGTTTTACTGTTTTCCCTTTACTATTGCCATTTACGCAAACAAACCGCTGTATCGAGGTTGTGTTTGAAATAACTGCGCGAACAAGTGGCTCTGAGAGTGAGTTGGGAAAGAGACTCGTTGAACAGTATTCCAGTATGTCACAGCGTTTCAGCAAAATGGCAAACCTTTGCAACGCGGGCATGGTTGGGGCCAAACAAGGATCAATTGTGGCGTATCTGAGATTCGAAACCCGAATCAGCGGATCCAGTCACGACTAAGGGACGTTATTAGCGAATAGGTGCACCTTAGAACACCGGCAACATGTGCCCCTCCAGTGGCCTCCTCTAATATGGTTCAAGTCATATTATCAGTGTCATATATACCATTCAACCATATTATTTACATGACGTTAGGAACATGTCATGATCCCAAGAAGGCTAAAAGCCAAAACAACTCCAGAACTTCGAGTAAAACATATACATGAAACATGAATTAAATCCGCAAGAAGACTGTTAGCTGAGCCTACCGACGTCCATATTTCTTTTTAACCTGACTTCAGTAGCTCGAGCCCTTCGGAATGTATTGTGACAACAGTGCTTTACTGTGTAAATATGTCTACGAAATGGGTACGTACCAGAGCACAATTATCACCGAGGGTCTCTTCCTGAGCGTGAATAGCGTTCATTCGGGGATGGTGACAATGTGATGGTTTATCATGGTAATGTCAGCATGGCTCTGAGTACGTTTAATAAAATGATGTTGATCTGTCACATTCTCTGTTTACTGACAGAGTGGGTGAAAGACATGAGAAGTGCTCCCATAACAGAAGCAGCTCGGTTTTCACAGGAGATTGACACGTGTGGTCACACCATCCACAATTAGAGGCGGTGGATTTTAACACAACTCCAGATCTCTTTGTAGACTACAATGCACCTCGGCGTTTAATGTGTAACCGGGGCGGTGGATCGCCTTGTGGTTAAAGCGTTCGCTCGTCACGCCGAAGGCCTGGGTTCGATTCCCAACATGGGTACAATGTGTGAAGCCCATTTCTGGTGTCCCCGCCGTGATACTGCTGGAATATTGCTACAAATGACGTAAAGCCAAACTTACTTACTCACCCACCTTTCAAAATGTTGTATGGTAGACATGTGGAGGACATTTCTAAATTTGACGCATCAGCGACAAAAATGATGTCCGATGCAAGAACCATATATTTCCGGGTATCATGACCATTTAATGGTGATTCATAACACATACTTAGTAGAGTCATAATATTATTTAACACAAAGAAATGTGTATACATTATAAGAAAATAAAGTGAATAATTTCGTTACTAAAAAGTTGCCAGTTCGTGCACAACACAGCGTTGATATCATGCTGGTGTCACTGAAAACCCGTGAAGATTCCGGGGTAGAATAGGTCTTCAGCAACCCATGCTTTCCGCAAAATGCGACTAATGGGATCGGGTGGTCAGGCTCGCTGACTTGGTTGATGCATGTCATCGTATCCCAATTGCGTGGATCGATTCTCACGATGTCAGTCACAGGATTGTCAGGTCTAGACTCGATTATTTACAGACCGCCGTCAAATAGCTGGAATACTGCTGAGTGCGGCGTTAAATAGAAACATAAGATAACATAACAGCATTAATGACTTTTCAGGCTGAACAGAACAAAGCATTTGCGCAGGCACCTCTGAAAGCGGTATATTTTTTCACCATAAACTCTATTCACGGTAGCACGGAAAGTGTAGAATTACAGTTTCACAAGGGACTTTCTGACCTACATATATACAAAGCGCATACAAATGTGCCTTTATGTAGTTCATGCATGCTTCCACGTGCTATTGGTTGTGTACTTAAATGTTGTTGGATTAATGTTGGATTAATGTTGGATTAATGTTGGATTAATGTTGGATTAATGTTGATATGTTAGCAGTCAATGTTGAGCTCACATTACCGGATTTACAGTAAACTACGGTTGTAACGAACACGCTTATAACGAACTGACGGATATAATGAACTTACTTTTTTGGTCCCGACTATTTGCTGTAGTTATGCTGTATATATGCGTATAACGAACTACGGCCATAGCGAACTTAAATCA